AGTGAACAACGATTTGACTGCATCTGTCCCGTCCGTGGTGTACATGTGTACTGGTTCTGACAACTCTACCGCGTCTTCCACACGAACCAGAAGTATTGGATCATCTCTGTATTTTGTCTGGGCCCAGTAATCAAGCACTGCCCGCTCGGATGAAAGTAAAAACGTGGATATGTCTGGGACGCACTTTGTCTGGAATATTGCTAGGCCAACCACGTGCATGTGTCGTGAACGGAAATGCACAGCCAGCTCCCGGGCGCTGGAGAAAGGAAGCCCACATTCCCGAGAGATTTGCTCACGCACTTTATTTGACCAAACGCATGCTAGCGGCACATGGTTCCTGCCATCGCTGAGTCTGTCATGTCTCCGCGCAACAATCCAAGCGTACATGTATGTATTTAGAACATATCACAATATCACCGTTGAACCCAAATGGATACGGAACACGAACACTAACCGAAACCCGAGTGCGCGCATGTGGTAACCTTCATCCCCTCACACGAAACGTTGCCCACAAAGAGCCACAAGGAAGCCGACAAATGGCCTACTGGACCCTCAGGCGAGGTGAAAGGGCCCAAGGACCATCAAACGGAAAGGGCCCAAGAAAAGACCTTGGGCCTGCGGTGGGCCCATGAAATATGGAGGGGCACGAGGAGCAGGGGAGGAAGGGGAGGAGGCGGAGGAGGAGGAGGAGGATAAAGTGGGTAGGAAGAGGATGAGGAGGAGGAGGAGGAGGAGGAGAAGGAGAAGGAGGAGGAAGAGGATTTGTTCAGATCCGAACGATAATCAACGCTCAGGTTGGGGGTTGGCCCCTGGGGCCTCCCCAGGGCCCCAACAAGATCGGGGCGGGATTCGCCACCTTGCGCGGAGGGCCCACCTCGGGCCCCCGCCCGCGCCCGCCGCAGCAGCAACGCCGGCGCCAGCCGGCCAGGAACCCCAGCGCCCCAGCGCCCGAGGTCGCGAGGCCGAGCACCAGCAGCCCGGCGAGGAGCAGGCGCCGGAGCGCCCAGACCTCCGCCTGGAGGGTCACGACCTCGCCCTGGAGGTCGATGATGCGCCGAAGCTCCTGGTCGCAGGAGCAAGGGCAGCCCTCCTCCGAGCCGCAGGCCAGCGGCGGCGGCGGGCGCCAGGCCGGGGCCACGGGCGTCGCCCAGCCCCGCGACCAGCGGGCTCCCAGCGTCGCGCTCCACGCGGCCGCGAACGTCGCCCAGAGCGAAGAAGGATATATATATATATATATACATTGCCGGGGGCGGCCCCGTCGTCTCCCGGTCGCCCGCGGCGCCGCCGGGGCTGTGCAGCGCGCATGACCTCCCTGAATAAACGGCTGGCGATGCCGCTAGCAATCTTGCCGCGCAGCGCGAGCTGCCTGGGAACGGGAAAAATCAAAAGCGGTTGGACCGGCGCTATTCCTAGGACCTCGTCGTTGCTGACTCGCGACGCGCGCGAGCATGGGGCGCCCAAGATGCGCCTCAGGCTGCGGTGGTGGGAAGAATCGTTCATAGCGCGCGTTTCGTGGACCTTGCTCTACGGGCGATTCGGACAACGTGCCCATGCGTTGCCGAGAAAGGGCTCCAGCCTTTTTCCCCGCGCGCCAGGATAGCTCCGACGGCGCCTTTCCGTCGCAGACAATCATGCGACCAGAGCGCACGGCTTCTTGGATATTGATGATCTGTCCCAAACCGACTCTCGCGGTGCGAACCCCCGTTAAAATTTGCAGCTGGATCGTTCTTTCTAAATGGAGCTCCAGCCCGCCATCAGGGCAAGGACTGTGTAGCTGACCGGCAATCGCGGTATGGGGCTGCAATTTTGCTGGGAGCGCGACGTCACCTTTCCGGGGCATAACTACAATTTGTTCGAGCCGCTACGGCCCTGGGATGGTTTTCTCGTCGCAGCGCTGGCAATTGCAGACTGAAAACCCACGCGAAAGATCGCCACCGTCCACTGCCCTCTAAAAGTCTGGCTGAACATCGTCGGGCCGCTCCGCCTTCCGATCCGTCAGCTTGGCAAAAGGTACTCTCGAATTCGGCCTGCGGCGACGTGTTGATTTGCAATGCAATTCCAAGCGACGCGCCACTTGCTAGGCCCATGTCGCCATAACGTGTTTTATATCCCTGAGAACGGAGCCAGAAAACAAACCGGCACCTCCGCAAACCTTGGCCCGTCAAAAACTCTTCCACAAGGCAGTCTGGATGGCCAGGCGAGCAAGGCAAATGTGATGGATGATTACTTTGAGCTGGCGCAGTAGCAACGCATCCAGAATGTTTGCTGTCTTCTTTGCAGGGGTTCCGCACGAATGCGTGGAATCTGCGTTCGCTCTAATAGTGCGCAGCCCTGCGGCACGCATCCGTTTCTAAATTGCTTGCAACCTTCCCATTTTGTCCACGGGCGCCTTGCCGGGCCCCCCCGGCCAGGAAGCGCATCGGAAGCATGAACGACATCGGCTAGAAAATCCCCAACGGATTTGTCCAGTGAGGCTGCCCTGTCAAACGACGATTCCGTAACTTTAATGCGTGAACGCAATTCGAACGCCAATGTGCTGGAGCGCAGACTTGTCTGTTGTTTTTTTGGGGCCGGGCTTCCGTTTCGAAGCTCGAGATGGTCTTGGCAATCGAAGGACATCGCGTGCGCACTGCCATTCGCTGCGGCTGAACAGCTTGCCCAGCAATTCGCGATCGTAGGCAAGGCGCCTCTGTGGCAGAATCCGTGATCGATTTGGGCGAAACGCCATGAACATGCAACTTATATTAGGTCTCTTGGCCGTCTCGCCGAAGCGCCGCCTTGAACGCGAATGTCCCGACAATGATCGCGCTGAGCTGCGAGGGCCACGGCGGCGGAGCGCACTCGAGGCGAAACTGTGAAAGCAACGCCCGCCCAAGCACGAACTGAACTGAACTCAACTGATACCCCGCCAGGCATAAGCCCGCCCCGCCGTGGGGGAAGGTGGTCACGCGCCGCCGCGCTGCTCTGTGAAACTTCAGATCCGACAATGCTGAGCAAGCAAAGCGCGCCATGCACCAAGACTCGCTGCTACGCTCTGCCACGCGTTCGGTAAAACATCAAAGCCATGCGAACTCAGAAAAATCACAGGTATCGCGTCTCCGCCGCTTCGGCGGTCTACGCAGCCTTCGTCCCCGTGCTCTGCCTTGGCCCCACCCAGTGACGCTCTTCTGGAAGAAACTGGCCTTAATGAACTATGAGGAAACCGTTATGCCTACAGTATGCGGCTCCATGGAGGTGTGTTTCCTGAATGCAGAAGCTATCGCTTCCTCTTGCTGCAGCACACTTTGCATTTCAGTTGGCTGGATGATGCGATCACACCTGAGCCCTCAACGTTCTTAGTGCCAATGCGTTTTACGCAGCAAAGACTTTCACGGCCTTCCCCCACGATAGGCCTCCAGATAAGCGAAATATGCGTCTTGCTCTGTCGCATTCTCCACGTCAACACCGCGGCCTTGGAAACAAAGAGCGCCCGAAGTGCATGCGGATGTAAGATGTGCATGACGTTTGCGAAGAGACGGGTCGGATTCTCAATCGATTTGGAGGCTGCCGGTGCTGTTGAGGGACGTAGCCGCCCACCTCGGAGATCAGGAACACCCTCTCAAGGTAAACGTGCCCGTCGTGTGCCCATGGTTGTGCTGGCACTCACTTTGTGCATTTAATGCTTCATAGTGCAGTCCCGCCGGCTGCGGGTGAAACGTGATTAATTACACTTGCTTGTTACTGCTGGAGGCCGCGCCGCTTGGCCCTTCCTTTAGTGTCCTCCTTCAGGCCCTGGGCAGCACGAACCATAAAGTCAGCCGACTTCTTTTCCATCTCCTTCATTTCCGGGTGGTTGTGGAGCTCCGCCCAGGTAGACAAGTCGCACTGCCATCGGTAGGCCACGCTGTGGTCGACGATCTTGGCTGGCAGCGCGCGTTCGCCTCCCACTATCACACAAACGAGGCGTCCTCGCTGACAGAGATACTGTAGCCGATTGAGGAAACGTTGGAGCCCGAGGCAACAATTCTGGGCAGGACGGCCTCGCGCTGAACGGTCCTGGGAGGCCCGAATATTCTTGTCCCCCTGTGGTGTATCCCGCGTTCCGGAAAACCTTCACAGCCTCGTCCCACGCGAGCATGTAACTCCACACAAGCGAATTCCCTGAAGGTCCCCTTTGAATACATTGCAATGGGTGGCGGGCTGAGAGTCTTCACATTCTCCTGTAACCACTTGGTGGTTGGCCACGATTGCCAAGGTCGACAGGTTGCCAATGCCGTCCAAGTTCCCGACCACCATCTGCACAAAGCGCCTGTTCACAAAGGGAGACGAAGAGGAGGAGAAAAAGGAACAGGAATAGAATGATGAGAAAACGGCACGATAGGAACATAACGAGAAGGATGCACCGGGCGAGTACGTAGGGGGAGGAAGAGCAACTACAGCAAGGAGACGATACGGAACAAATGGTGAAGGGGAGGAAAACGAAGATGAGGACGAGTAAAGGTAGGTGCGGGACGACTGGAAGGGAAGAGAGGGAGGAGAGAGCAAAGAGGAAAAATGAGGGGGTGAGGGGGAGAAAGAGGAGATGGAACAACAGCAGCGGGCGGATTGGAAGGAGGACAGAGGGGGAGGAGGCGCTGGTGGGGGTGATGAGCATGCAGCATGCTGAGATGCTGCAGGCAGGGGGGCGACAGGAGGATGACGAGGTAAAAGTTGGAGCGGCGATGCTGGTATCATCAATGCCAATTATGTATTAGCGCAGGAAACACAATACTCAAATGACCAAGGCACACGAAGACAACACAAACGTTACTACAACCTTGAACCTGGCATCGCAGCGCCCCAGCAGCCACGACTGCCTGGCGAGGGAGCGGGAGAGGAAAGGCAACGCAGGCAGGCAGCAGCAGCAGCAGTAGAAGCAACAGACGACGACGACGACGACGACGTCGACGACGAGAACGAACGCAGAGGTGGGAGGCCAGGGCCGGCGGGATGAAGCAGGCGGGCGGGCAGGCGAGAAGGTCCTCCACCCGCGCCGCCTGGCTGGCCGCCCCGTCCGCCGCCGAGGGCGCCATCCCCGCGCGGCGCGCGGGGAGGGGGTCGGCGAGGGCTCCGCGCGCGCTCCGCGGCGCCGCGGGCTGACGGGGGGAGAGGCGCGGAGAGTGGTGGGGGCGGAGGGGGTGGGGGCGGGGGAAGAGGAGGAGGGGGGGAGGGAAGAGGCAGGGCGATCATTTTCTTTGGCTGCGCACGCTGGGATAGCATGGCGGCGTGGCCGCAAGTCCAGGCGTCGGAGCGGCGTCGACCGACGAGCGAGCAGGAAGCCAAACTTCACGAGGAGGGGGGTGGGAGCAAAATGGCCAGGGCTCCCCACCGAGGATGGGAGCAAAATGGCCAGGGCAGGAGGAGGAGGGGGATGAGGAGGACGAGGAGGAGGGAACAGAGGAGAGGGGGAGGACAGAGGCGTGGAGAAACCAGAACACTTGGAGCACTGCACAAGTCAACCTGCAATAGGCGAGCCGTTGAGCAGCCGAGCACTGAGGTAACTGGCAGGAGTGCGGATTTAAATCTCTGAGTCCGAGCTCCGAGCACAACCACGAGAACTATCAAGCCCGACAAATGAGCCCACAGTCCTATGGAAGGGGGATCAGGAGGGACACGGGGAGTGAGCGGGAGGGAGGGAGAGAAGGAGGAGGGAATCCTGGTCCGGGCGCCTGAATCGGTCCTGGCCGCCCACCTGGCGGCCCAGGAGGCGCCGCGGGACCCCCCTTGTGCCCCCACCTGCGGCGCCTGTGGCCACCTCGGCGGCGACGTGGCGCACGACCGGGACGCCTAGGATGGGCTGGAGGCGGTCCACGGCCCCCTTGCATGCCGCTCCGAAGAGGAGGACGAGGAGGAGGAGGAGGAGGAGGAGGAGGAGGCGGAGGAGGAGGAGGAGGAGGAGGAGGAGGAGAGGAACCACGTGCGCCGTGCACCCGAACCCGCTTTTCCCGAGGGACAGGCCCTCAGGTGTTCGTGGCGGCGGCTCAACGTGGCCACTTCAGGTCCGCGACAGACGCCTAACCGAGAAGGGTCTTTAATAACCCCCGGGCAATAATGGGAAAATCAATCATGTTCCGCGGGTTTACTGACGGATTGGGTCCCCAGCAACAGTTGGAAATCCGCCGAAATCCGCCCCCCCCCTTCTCCGCTTTCTCATGATCACGGCCACGACCACCACCACCATCATCACCGTCCTCATTCTTGTCCTCGTCCTCGTCCTCGTCCTCGTCGTCCTCCTCTTTTTCCTCATCGTCCTCGTCATCGTCTCTCGACATCCTCATCCACATCCCAAACCTTCAACCTCATTCTCAACCCCCTTCAGGGACCAGGGAGGGCGCCGATCGCTGGTGGCATTCGCCTCCTCCTCCACCTCCTCCTCCTCCTCCTGCCCCTCCTCCTCCTCTTCCTCCTGCTCCCTTCTCCTGCTTGCTCCTCCTCCCCCTTTCCTCCTCCTCCTCCTCCTCCTCCTCCTCCTCCTCCTCCTCCCAATCCCCCCTCCTCCTCCTCCCCCTCACCCCACCCCCTCCTCCTCCTCACCTCCTCCCCTCCTCCTCCCCCTCCTCCTCCCCCCTCCCTCCTCCTCGCCCTGTGACCAGGTGCGGGTCAAACGCCGATCGCCGACCTGGCCTCCCACCGGTCGCGTTCAGCCTTGAGCGCCCGCGGCGGAGCCGCCGCCGCGTCGACGCGGCGCGAACCCGCCGCACGGCCCCGGGGCACGGCACCCGGAAGCCGAAGACAGCGAAGATCACACGCTTCTTGACGTCTTCAAGACGCTCACCGTCTGTGAACGTTCGCACACTCTCGCTCGTCCTCGTGATCGTCACCGCTGAATCCCCCTCGATTTTGACCCGTACTCTCTGGGGTCGGCGGCAGAGGCGGCAGCCTTGCAATTAATCATTTTCGGCGGCGGATGCCAAGAGAAGTGATAACAAAAATTCAGCGTTCAACGCCAGGCGGCCTCCTCTTCCTCCTCCTCCTCCTCCTCCTCATCCTCCTCCTCACCTGCACACCGCCACCGCAACTGCTGCACACGTGCGAACATGCATCACGGAGGCCTGAGACGACAAGAACATGTTCAAAATCTGTTCGCCCAACAATATTCAGCACGGCCGACAATAGTGGGAAAACAATACCCGCGCGGCGGCGACGGCGGCGACGACGACGAAGACGAACCGAGGAGCCGATTGGATACGCAACGGCTACTATTGCAAGCCTTGTGCGAACATGTTCGAAATTCCTCCCGCGCGCAAAGTAGCCCAGGAGGCATTGCCAACTTGGAGAAACAACGGCCCAACAATATTCAGCACGGCCGACAACAGTGGGAAACCCACGCGGGGACTACGACGACGAAGACGATGACGACGGCGGCGACGCTGACGACGACGGAGACGACGACGATGACGCCGAAAACGACGACGAAAACGATTCGAGGAACCCATTGGAGACGCAACGACTTCTATTGTAAGCCTTTGGCGAACACGTTCAAAATTCCTCCCGCGTGCACAATAGCCCACGGGGCATTGTCCACTGGGAGAAAGAAGCACTCTACAATAATCAGCACGGCTGACAATAGTGGGGAAATAATGCACCCGCGGCGGCGACGACAACGACGACGGCGACGAAGATGACGACGGCGACGAAGGCGACGACGACAGCGGTGGGGTCTTCACCCACGACCCAGGCACGGCGGTGCAGTCAGCGACACACTATCCACAACGGCGGCGAGGCGTCCGACTCACAACCCAGGCGCGGCGGTCAGGTCTTTCAGCCACAGCCCAGGCACGTCGGTGAGGCTCCGGACCCAAAGTCTATGAACGGCGGTGATGCCTCTGGCCCACAACCCAGGTACGCTGGTGAGGCTTCTGACCCCACAACCCAGGCACGGCGGTGTGGCTTCTAAGGAGGAGGAGGAGGACTGATTGGACAGGACTGCCACTTGGAGTGCCGATGTCGCCTGTACGGTCCAGAACAACCATCGCTGTGCTACTCTTCGCCAAGAGCAAGTCGAGGACCCCAAACATTGCAGCGAAACTGCAACCCACGGCACGGCGATCGAGAGCATGGCAGAGGAGTGAGCAAGAATCGTCGTCGTCGTCGTCTCCCGTCGTCGTCGTCCTTGTCGTCGTCCTCCCTCCTCGAGCCTACGAAACGGAACCCAGAACAGGGGGGGGAGGAGGAGGAGGAGGAGGAGGAGGAGGAGGAGGAGGAGAAGGAGGAGGAGGAGGAGAAGAAGAGGAAGAAGAGGAGGAGGAGGGGGAGGAGGAGGAGGGAGGGGAAGGAGGAGGGAGGGGAAGGAGGATGAGGAGGGACGAGTTTCTATTCCTCGCCGAGAGCTTCGGGGGGGAACCCATCATTAAAGACCCTTCGCGCTTACAACTACAACTTGATTTGTTCCTATCATCCCCAGCGCGGGGACACGTCTACACCCACGGCACGATCCAGATCGAGATCACCTGCCTGGCACAGGCGACTTCGACGTCAACGTGCTGACGCCCGTTTCCTGCTACGGCTTGACAAAGCACGATACCTACTCCAAGCACACCACAGCGCACAACAATCTTCACGACATCCACCTCCAGCTCCAACTATGGCGGCACCATGGGGAGGAACCGCGAGCGGTTCAGCGACAACGCCACCACCCTGGAGACAAACATCGAGTCGCACTCCAAGCAAGGGACCTGCGCCCCGACCTACGACACACGCGGTCGGATTTGGCCTCGACCAGTGGAGGAACGACAAGAGGTGGGAGTCCGAACATCCCGACACCTACTGGAACTGGGGCTCCACAGGCAAGACCGGCAAAGCAAAGGGCACCTTCCCCAAGCCCTACGACGACGACATCGAGGACAGCAACCGCCAACAGAAGGGCAAGAACAGGGACAAGAAAGTCAAAGGTACAGCAAACACCACCCGACGAGGACACCGCGCCCAAGAAGAAGCAGAGGGAATCCAGCCAGGACTACCACGACCATTTCAACAATATCGTCGACAATCTCAGGCCCATGCGCTATGTATATGCCACACGCAGGCCAAATTGGGAGTCACAACCAAACGACCCCAAGCTCAAGGAGGACTGGGAGAAAACAAAAGTCCTCGAGCAACGACGAGCCGCAGCCTCCATCACGAGCAGCGCAGCAGGCCTACTCACAAAAGATGCCGAAGCACAGGTCGCCTTCGTCAAAGCGTTGACAATCAGCAATCTCCCACTCGCCCAACAGGCGAGGCAGATCGACCGCATCAAGCAGACCACGGAGGACCACTACGCGCACGCCAAGGGCCAACAGAGAGAGACCGAAAGACGCATCAACATAGAAGTGACGATCAACGATCTCCACACCATCCTGATTTGCGGCGGTCCCAGGAGGTGCACTGCTGAGCTGTGCGTGAGAGGCGGAAGGTGGAGGGAGGAGGTTTCGGCAATGTTCGGCGGTTCTCCAGGGTCGCAGGCAGCTCTTCAACAAGTTTTGGGGCGTCCTACGGTGCTCCAATGCGCTCAAGGAGAGCATAGGAGGACGCCCGCTATCCAACGAGGCCAGTCCTCGCCGGTGCACTTCGTGGGCCGAAGGTTGGAGGGTGGACGCGTCCCCACGAGCCGGCTTGGAGGGTGTGAACTCCGATCCTGAGCCCAAGATCGGTATGGCCAGGATCGGTCGGTGGATAGTTGGCGAGCCCAGAAAGGAACAGGAAAGAGGCAGAAACAGTAGAGGTCGAGGGCCCCTCCTCCTCCCCCTCCAGCGCATCCTCCTCTCCCTCAGAATCAATGCGCCACCGAAGTTGGTACAATTTTGAGTGCCACACTGATTGAACTCCTAAGGGCCCCGACCTCCAGTTTGCCAGAGTTGGTTGGCGCTCCTGAGCGACGATCCCGTCGTATGTCGCGTGAGCCTTCCAGATGCTGTCACCAGAACGAGATCGAATCCCTCCCAAGAGTCCCCCAAGAAGCATCCAAAAAGGAGTAGGATGCCCTCTGGACGTTCCAAGAGGCCCCACTGGACCACAGGAGGCCCACACGCCCCTCCGAGAGAGGCTCCAAAACACTGCAGGAGAGGCCCCTGAAAGCCACAAATGTCAAACCCAACAAGAGTTCAATGTGCTTCGCCTGTTCGCCTTCACGGATCAGAATGTCGACTCGGGCTGACTTCAAAACGACGACAGGGATCCTGCTACTGCCCCAGAGGTCCCCAAGAACCACCCAACATGGCCTCAGGTGGCCCCAAGAGGTCCCCAAAACGGCTCAAGGCAGACTCTGGGGAAGACCAAGACAACACAGAAGGGCTACAACATAAGGCAGACGGCGCCACCAGTCCGAGAGGCCCCCCCAAAGGCCTCCAAGACTTTCCGAGACGGCTCAAGAGGGCCCACGATATTTCCGAAAGGCACCCAACAGACCCCCAGGAGGCCCCCCAGAAGACCCCCATTCAGCTAGAGAGGCCTTTCCCATGACACTCGAGAAAACACAAAGACGCTTCCTCCACGACCAAGACGCCCAAGATGGCCTCAGAGATGGCCTCTAAGATGGACAAGATGGCCCCTTAAGGCCTCCAATGCGGTCACAAAACGCCTCTAAGACTGCCAAGATGGCTTCAAGGGGGCCCAAGGTTGCCACAAGATGGCCCAAGACGGCACAAGATGCCCCACGAGCGCCACGAGAGAACAGTCCGAGAGAGCATCCAGGAAGCTCCGAAGGGGCCAGAACTACCGCAGCAAAGCACCCTAATAGCAGCCAAGGTGACGAGGCGGGCCGAGGAGTAGGAGGTCGGCTCTTGGGGACAGGGGTGAGAGCACGGCCATGTGTACCGTAGTGTTCTATTAGTCAGGGATCGTGCCCGTCTGGACCAAAAACGAAACGTGTTTCCCCAATTCGGCTTGCCTACCAGGTTCTTACTTGGTGAAAGGTTGGTGCCTCGGATTCTCACGTTGCCCGTTGCTCGGAGGTTCCCCGCATTCCTCGCCCTCGGCGCCTCCGATTCTTACGTTGCCCGTTGCTCGGAGGTTCCTCGAGATTCCTCGTGTTCCATGGGCTCCTCGCCCCCAGTGCCTCCTTCTTACGTTACCGTTCCTCGGAGGTTCCTCGAGGTCTCCAGATTCCTCGGGTTCCTCGCCCTGGTTGTTGGTCTTGGTTCCCAGCAATGCCCAGCAATGTCAAGCAACGCCAAGAAGATCAAAGCAGTGCAAAGCAACGCCAAGTAATGCCAAGCAATGCCAAGCAATGTCAAGCAATGCCAAGCAACGCCAAGCAATGCAAAGCGACACTAAGTAATGCCACGCAACGCCAAGCAGCGACAAGCAATGCCAAGCGATGCAAAGCAATGCCAAGCAACGCCAAGCAACGCAAAGCAATGCCAAGCATTGTCAAGCAATGCTAAGCAACACAAAGCAATGCAAAGCAATGATCAGCAATGCAATCCAATGCAATGAAAGGCATTCCAATGCCAAACAATGCTAACCAACGCCGCTTAGGAAGCGCTCCCCTAATTGGGGTCGCGCCGGGTTCATAATAAATAACCAAGGATCGTGGGAGCCTGGACCAAACAGAGCGCGTTTCTTTATCTCCGGCGATAATGAGCATTATAGGGAGGGGCGGGGGTGGTATAATGGAACGCCCCCCCCCGCCGTGTGGCTCCGCACCACAGCCGCGCCCGCGCGCACGACGACGATGAGCGACGAGCGACGAGCGACGAGCAACGACGACGACGCAAGCAGCATGTAGGTGGCGACCTGCCCCACAACGCCTGTGTACGCCACAATGCTCGCGTGCACCACAGCGCGCGTGTACACCACCGCGCCTGCGTAAACCGCAACAACCGTGTGCGACGCAACGCCTGTGTACACCACAGTGCTTCCGTGCACTTCGGCGCCGGTGTACACCACAGCGAATGTGTAACACCGCAGCAACCATGTGCAACACAGCGCCTGTGTACACCACAATGCTTGCGTGCACCGCAGCGCCTGTGCACACCACAGCGCCTGTCTACACCACAGCATCCGCGTGCACGCAGCGCTGGTGTCAGCGCTGGTGTACACCACAGTGCCTGCGTGCACAGGACACGTAGAAGGAGCATGTAGGTGAGGACCTGCTGCGGACAGCTAAACGCCACGCCGGGGAAGTGCTGATAATAGAATGCGACGTTCTTCTCTCCTCCCTCCTCCGCCGCATCCACCTCCTCCTCCTCCTCCTCCTCCTCCTCCTCCCTCACCCTTCCCCCTGTCGGACCAATGCGGACCAGGCTCCTATGCGGATTCCTATGCGGACGCCGATACGGATCCAGATGCGCACGGCGGCAGTGCCTGGAGCGCACTGGGGAGGGAGAGGCGTTACGGTATAGGGGGGGGAGGCGGCGGCCAGAATGCCCATGACGCCCCAAGCAAAAAAGAAACACGCTCAAATGTAGCCGGCATTGGGGCGAAAGTGCGATTCCTGAATAAAGTGCGAGGCTCAGGCAAAACGGTTGCCAGACCAGAGGGGTACCAGGCGTTCTCGGGCTCGCCGTTCCCCCAGTGGGACTCTTCTGCGGCCCTTTTTCACCACGACTCGAGTCCTCTAACGGAAATCAGCTATTTTGTGTAGCTGATTCAAACATTCGCGGGCTTCTGGCCCCGAGACGGCGCGAGAGACCTCCAATACGGTCCTACAGAGCGTTAGGACCCCAGGACGGCCGAGACAGGCCCCCAAGACGGCGTCCGAAGGCGCTCGACGGGCCAGGAAAGCCCCGAGACGATCCAGGCAAGCCCCCAGAGGCTCCAAAGAGGCCTCTCGGAGGCCCCCAAGGGGCCCCCAGGAAGCTCCTCCTCCTGCTGCTCCTCCTCATCTTCCTTATCTTCCTTCTCCTCACTCTCCTGCTCCTCCTCCTGCTCAGGCCATCCCGCCAGAACAAAGCGTACACAAAGGAAAGAAATCTCCTCCTGCTCTCGCAATTTCCTTCCGTGTTCCCCCAAGAGTTTCCATAACGGGTATTCAACTATCTTGGACAGATGTTGGTCCAACGTATGGCCAGATGGGCATTTACCAAAGACAGGGAGTGGCGGTGGTTCTCGGTAGGCGTCTTCGACGTGTTTCGCCCCGATAGCAATCGATACAATGTATACTCGCGTCTTCCCGTTCAACGTGGACAACTTGTTGACGACGTTGCACATCCCGTGGCAAAAATGGGATGCGGCGCACATCGGGCGGGAGGGTGCTAAATGTTGCTCTCGCAACAAGGCCGCGCACACATCTTCCAGAACATTGCAAGCACGCTGCCTCCCAGGTGCATCACACACGTTAGATCGCCAACTCGACAGCGGCGGGGTCGTTCTCGCACAAGCCTGAAAGTGGTGCTCCCGCTCAAGCGCGGCGCTTGTTTCCCCTTCGCCATGGATGCCAGAAATTTGGCCACACAAGAAAGACTAACTAACGGTGCTCTCGCTGAAACGATTTCCATTAACGCCCTTGCACGGCCCATGATTTCCTCCCGCCCAGTCGTCAGCAGGGCTGCGCACGCGGGAGCGTCTTCTGTTCGCCAGGAAGGGGCGCGCGCCAGTCTCAATTCTAAGTCGTGCTGGCATTGACTCTTGTGGTATGGGAGGGATGGTAACAGTGGGCGCGGTCCGCTGACCCGTTCGAGCCTGCCGACCTCCCCCTCCTCCTCCGCCTTCAGAGGAGGCCTCTGCCGCGGCCTGCAGGACGGCCCCACGACGAGCGTGGCGGTGGCGCCGCGAAGGGAGGGATGAGTAAGCGGCCCTCGCTTCGCGAGCCCGAGGCGGGAGGGCGCCATAAAACTCGCTGGCCAGCCGCAAGCGCACGCGCCCGGGGCTGGCCTGCGTCGTGTCGCTGCTGCTGCCACCGCCGTCTAAGACCAAGCCAGGACGAAGATAAAACCAGGTGAGGACACATCCAGAATCTCTGAGATCAGGCGGCTCTCCAGGATGCCCTCGGGCGCCGCTGCCTTCCCAGAGCGGCCAGGAACACTCTGGGACGCGGTCCGGAACGCTCTGGAACGGATGTCTCCCTCTGGCCCCGTCCGATCGTCGGCCTCCGTCGTCTTCACGCCAGGCGGGACGGCCTCTGGGCTCGCAGGCTGGCCCCGGGCGCGCGCCCAGGCACGGCGCCGGGAGGGCGCGGCCGCCTGCCAAGGGAGGTGCTGCCCTGCTTCGCGCTGTCGAAGAAGGCAACCTGCGCGGGCGTCCCCCGCAGCATTGCACCCCGAGGCGGAGGGGAGGCCGGTGGAGAGGGAGGGAGAGGGGGAGCAGGCGGAGCAGGAGCCGGAGGAGAGGGAAGAAGACGAGGGGCGCCTTGTACTCGAACTCGCCAGTCTGCCTCGAGAGCGTCTTGCCAGCGAGCGACGCGTAGCCTCCCCCGAGGCGCGGGAGGAAGGAAGACTGCATTTGTCCGTGATTTAGAATCACGTCCGGACGTTACCATATCGGTATCAGTTCGAGAGGTTGTATTGCGTGCGTTGATCGCGTTATGAAAACAATCCGAGAAGCACTAATGGCTCGGGGGGCCTTGGGGCATTTGCACGATGTTCAGAGAATCCTGGACGCGTCTCAAAGATCCGGATGATTTCAGAAGGAGGGGGGGGGGGGGAGGCGGAGGAGGGAGGGGGAAAGAAAGGATGACTGGAGAGAAGAGAGGACGTGGATGAGGAGCTGGAGGAGAAGGCGGAGAATGAAGGGGCTTTGGACGAGGAGGACAAGGAGGGGGAGGGAGGAGGGAGGATCAGGAGGATTCGGAACAAGTGGAGGATAGGGATATGGACGAGGAGGGGAGGGGGGCATAGCGAGGAGCAAAGGGAGGAGGAGCCGGATGAGAGTGAAGAAGATAAAAGGGTGAGTGCAGGGAGACGAGGGAAGAGACTGATGGTATGACGAAGAGGGCTAGCATGACAAGGAGGAGGGGAGGGAGAGGAGGAGGGAGATCAGGATGAGGACTGGGGTGCGCTGGGGGCGAGGGAGGGGGGAGAAAAAAAGGACGGCGGATTGCGGCGGAGAAGGTGGGGAGAGCCCTTCACCCCCCGGGGCATCAGCGTTGCCGGTATAGATCACCGGGGGCCTTGGCTACCCTAGGCCCTACCCAAGGCCCTAGGCTTCCCAAGGGTAGGCCCTACCCAAGGCCCTAGGCTTCCCAAAGGTAGGCCCTACCCAAGGCCCTAGGCTTCCCAAGGGTAGGCCCTACCCAAGGCCCTAGGCTTCCCAAGGGTAGGCCCTACCCAAGGCCCTAGGCTTCCCAAGGGTAGGCCCTACCCAAGGCCCTAGGCTTCCCAAGGGTAGGCCCTACCCAAGGCCCTAGGCTTCCCAAGGGTAGGCCCTACCCAAGGCCCTAGGCTTCCCAAGGGTAGGCCCTACCCAAGGCCCTAGGCTTCCCAAGGGTAGGCCCTACCCAAGGCCCTAGGCTTCCCAAGGGTAGGCCCTACCCAAGGCCCTAGGCCCCAGGGTAGCCCTAGGGGTAGGGGTAGCCCCAGGGTAGCCCTAGGGGTAGGCCCTAGGGGTAACCCTTTATTGCGGATTACAATATGATTCCTTTGGTCGGGCGGGCGGGCGGGACATTAATAGCATTGGTTGCCTTGGTGGCGGATTACATATATTGATTACCTGTGTGGTGGATTATCAACTGATTACTCTTGTCGGGCGGGCGGGCGGGACACTAAAGGCATTGATTGCATGTGTGGCGGGTGGCACACTGATTCTTATTGCGGCAGATTACACATTGATTCCTTTTGTCGGGCGGGCGGGCGGGACATTAAAGGCAATGATTGCTTGTGTGGCGAATTACGAATGGATTCTCTTTTATTGCGGATTACAAACTGATTCCTTTGGTCGGGCGGGCGGGCGGGACATTAAAAGCATCGATTGCTTTGGTGGCGGATTACAAAGTGATTCCATGTGGCAGCGGGTTACAAGTTGATTACTATTGTGGCGGATTACAAGCTGATTCTTTTGGTCGGGCGGGCGGGCGGGACATTAAAGGCATTGCCGTTCTGAAGAAGGGGAGGAGCAGGAGGGGGCGGCGACGACGACGACGACGACGACGACGACGACGACGACGACGACGACGACGACGACGACGACGACGTGGAGCCGATCGACGACGGGGGCGCCGGGCGCCAGGGCGGCGCAGGCGGGCTGTCACCTCCTCCTCCTCCTCCTCCTCCTCCCCCCCCCTCCTCCTCCTCCTCCTCCTCCTCCTCCTCCTCCTCCTCTCCCTCTCCCTCCCTCCTCCTCCTCCTCCTCCTCCTCCTCCTCCTCCTCCTCCTCCTCCTCCTCCTCCTCCTCCTCCTCGGTACTCCTCCCCCTCATCCTCGTGCTTCTCCTCCGGCAAAGGCGGCCCTAGGGGTAGGCCCAAGGGGTAGCCCTAGGGTAGCCCTAGGGGTAGGCCCTAGGGGTAGCCCTAGGGTAGCCCTAGGGGTAGGCCCTAGGGGTAGCCCTAGGGTAGCCCTAGGGGTAGGCCCTAGGGGTAGGCCCTAGGGTAGCCCTAGGGGTAGGCCCTAGGGGTAGCCCTAGGGTAGCCCTAGGGGTAGGCCCTACCCTAGGGGTAGGGGTAGGCCCTAGGGTAGCCTAGGGTAGTAGGGGTAGGCCCTAGGGGTAGGCCTAGGGTAGCCCTAGGGGTAGTAGGCCCTAGGGGTAGGCCCTAGGGGTAGGCCCTAGGGGTAGGCCCTAGGGGTAGGCCCTAGGGTAGCCCTAGGGGTAGACCCTAGGGGTAGGCCTAGGGTAGCCCTAGGGGTAGGCCCTAGGGGTAGGCCTAGGGTAGCCCTAGGGGTAGGCCCTAGGGGTAGGCCTAGGGTAGCCCTAGGGGTAGACCCTAGGGGTAGGCCTAGGGTAGCCCTTCCTTGGGTGATCTATAAGGCGTTGCCAGGAGGCCCGCAAGCCCGGTCGACCCCAGGGCGGTGTCCACTCTGGGGGCGCTGCTCCCCCCTTCCTCCTCCTCTCCCTCCTCCTCCTTCTCCTCCTCCTCTCCCTCCTCCTCCTTCTCCTCCTCCTCCTCGAGGGGGAGCGGGGGTGGCACAAGGAGTGCGGAAGGGCACGAGTGCTGTCGACTTCTTGTTGTGCTGCAGGACGCTACAAGGCGCTTTAGGCGGTCCTACACGATGGGATATGAATGCCCTCTTCCCTACCTCCTCCGTTTCCCCTCAATCCCTCCCTGCATCCTCCCTCAAGGACGTCCCTAATGCCTCCCTCCCTCACTCCCCGCTCCCTTCCTCTCCCTTCACCCCTCGACGACATCTCCCTCCCTCCATCGCCCCTCGTTCCTCCCTCACCTGCTCCTTATTATCATCCCTCCTCCCTCCCTCGTCCTCGTCCCTCCATCATCCCTCTCTCCTCTCTTCCTCTCCTCTCCATCCTCCCTTCATAACCTCTCCCTCCTCCCTCTATCCTTCCTGGCAAACGGTGACGGGATCTGCAAACAATCCCCAAACGCTTTCCCAAGAGGCTCCCCCAATCGCCGAGGTGGTCGTCAGACATAGCCTCGATCTTCTTCTGCAAATTCTTGATCTGCGGTTGGGCCGGGGAGGGATAAGGGCCTCATGGCCCGATCCGCGATGAATCAACCACGTGTGAACCTCACAGAGCCCGCGATGGTTCGTAATTGACGAGATGCCTTCAGCCAAATAACCCCTGCAGTGGGGATCGGATACCACAGCGTCGGTTGGGATCGCAGGGTTGGGGCTGGCTACTGATTGTGTGCCCGCGATCGTCACACACAAGTGGGAGGAAAGGTGTCCCTCCTAGATCAGCTAGCACATAAGAATGGAAGGCGGGCACGTCAATGGCGAATGCATTCCATGGATTCGCGCAATCCGCCGGCCCCCTTGTGGGGCCACCAGGCTGTAGGACCGTGATGCGCAGTTTCCTGTACCAGTCGTAGGTTTTAGTTTCCAGTTTTACAGTTCTGCTTCTTGCTGGTTACTGTAACTAGTTGATTGACCGCGCGAGGGGGGGGGAGGCCCAAACAAGATTTTTAGCGTCTCCTGGGCGCGTTGTCTGAATTGCTGGGGGGGCTCGAAATCGACACCCCTCACGCAGATCCGCGGGGTCAGGGTCCAAAAACACATGGGATTTGCCACATTTCTGAAATTCGGTGCCACCCCTCACGCAGATCCGCGGGGTCAGGGTCCAAAAACACAAGGGATTTGCCACATTTCTGAATTCGGTGCCACCCCTCACGCAGATCCGCGGGGTCAGGGTCCAAAAACACAAGGGATTTGCCACATTTCTGAAATTCGGTGCCACCCCTCACGCAGATCCGCGGGGTCAGGGTCCAAAAACACAATGGGATTTGCCACATTTCTGAAATTCGGTGCCACCCCTCACGCAGATCCGCGGGTCAGGGTCCAAAAACACATGGGATTTGCCACATTTCTGAAATTCGGTGCCACCCCTCACGCAGATCCGCGGGGTCAGGGTCCAAAAACACATGGGATTTGCCACATTTCTGAAATTCGGTGCCACCCCTCACGCAGATCCGCGGCGTCAGGGTCCAAAAACACAAGGGATTTGCCACATTTCTGACATTCGGCGCCACCCCTTACGCAGATCCGCGGGGTCAGGGTCCAAAAACACAAGGGATTTGGCACATTTCTGAAATTCGGTGCCACCCTTCACGCACATCCATCGCAAGGCGTGGTAACCCAAACTGCGAGAACTCCCTCGGCCCTTTAATCGCAAGGTGTGGTAACCAAGCCCGTACACCATACACGTCTTACCAATCGCCAGGTGTGGTAACCCCTCTTGTGATCAGTTGGTTTTGCTGATTGCGTTCGGCTTCGCATGAAGTTTCGATACTGGTTCACAACAGCGCCAAGGCCTCATGACTTAGCTCTTCCATGGCCCATTCTCCGAGAGAGGGGGCCGGCGGCAGGGGGCGAAGCCCTTACGGATAACACCCACATGCCCATTCGAAGGGAAAACACATCCGCAAACAGGTATGTGTGGGAGGGAAGGGCCAAGTATGTCTACTAGCAGGCATGGGTTCGCAAGAACAACACTTCAAGATCCAAATTGGCCACCGTCTCGGCCACAAGAGGTGATGTGTATGTTTACATCTCGTTCGCCGATAATAAAAGCCAGGTCTGCCAAATAACGGGATGCTCGAAGACCGCTGACTCTAGCTTGGCGACGGCAGCTGAACAACAACTTACTCGTCTGCGCGAACAGGCTCGCCTCGCCACTTCTACAGCTGGCCTGCCGGCCACCTTCAGAAACCTCCTGCCGAGAAGTGGCCGTCAGAGCTGCGGTGCTGCGACTTGCAAGACAGACGTGCAAAAGGAAAACGAATTCAGGCGATTGCGCCGTCCTCGTCCTTGGCATCATTCATCTTCTTTCTCGCGTCCCTCTCCTCGACACGGGTGGCAGTTGGAACGCGGACAACTCTGCCTCTGATGCGCAGAGAGAGGGAGAGAGACAGCGAGAGAGAGAGAGCAAAACAAGACACGAAGGACGATGGTGATGGAAAGCGTACAGAGCAGAAGGGGGATGCGGGAGGAACACGCGGGAGAAAGGAATTATAACTAACACCATGGAGTCGTATAGTTTCAGCAAGCCCAAAAGTTGAACTATCAAACAGTGAGAATCTAGCACAAAAAGCACGTGCACGTTTACATACTCATAAACCGCAGACGTCGCACCCTCGGCTGGCGAATATTGTGGGAGTTGCTCTCTTGCCTATGGGCCCAAGAGCCTCATGCCGCGTGGCCGCATCAACAGCACGGCCCCGCGACACATGTGCGCACGTAAGTGGATTGCGTGTTTTGATTTGGTGGCCACTGCATCGCCACCAGCACATGTGCCCCCACGCAATCGCATGCTTCCTCTGCCCAGCAATTACCATGACCACACACACCCGCCCCGAAGCTCGCTTCGAGCCTTAATTGGTCCTCTGGGGCAGCGGGCATTCGAAGCGACAGCTTTCGAATCTATCCGCCATCGCGCCTGCGCGATAGCTGAGCTGCCAGGCGCTGCCCGCTGGAGTCTATATAACCGTCGAAGGGACCTACCCCAACCTCGCGGCGCAGAGTATCCGAGGCATCACCCGCCTCCCGAGGGTCCCTGCGCGGCCATGGCGCCTCCGAGGGACTCCCCAAGAATTCCACGACGGCCCAAGGAGCCACCAAGGCCGCCAAGATGGCCCAAACTGCCTCCAAAATGGCCCAACATGCCTCCAACACGGCACGGTATGGCCTCACGACGGCCCAGCATAGCCTAAAGATGGCTCAAAGAGGTTCCCAAGATGGCTCAACAAGGCTCCAAGAGAGCCCTCAGAGGGACGAACGAAGAAAACATCATAGATGTTCCTCGAGTTGTTATCTGGTGGTTGCCCCACATCGAGCTTGCGACCCCGTCCCCACCTTCCGACAGGCAGCGGGGGCCCTCGAGAGTAACGGGGGCAGTGCGTCTGCCCATGCGCGCCCAGAGCCTCCACAGGGCTCCCAAGATGGCCTTAAGGGACCCCCAGGATGGTTCCATGCAAACTCCGACGAAAGGGCTCTAGATAGAGCAGAAGGATCTCCAAGATGTCCTGGGATGTCCTGAGATGCCTCCAGGTGGCCTCCGAATTCTAAACCTTTTTGTAAGGAACCATACATCCTGAGCGCCACGCTTGTGGGCCCAGAGCGGCCCCAGGGAGGCCAAACATCGATACAACTTCAACGCTCTTACATGCATGCCGCATTGTCTAACTTCTGTGTGGTGCCAATGTTATTCGTCTGAGCGGGGGAGGGATGCTTTGAGGAAGTGGTAGTGGGGCGTGACAGGGAGAAGAAAGAGGGAGAAAGGATGGATGACGATGGAGAGCGATGGTCATGGTGGCCCTGCGTTGTCAAAGAACGATGGCGGCGCTTGCCGACAACCAACCGACGCCCCGAAAAATATGGCAAAACAGAATCGTTCTCGAACCCCACTTGTGTCTGCTATCGCATGTCCAGCGCGAATGATGGGATAACGTAGAATTCGTAAAGCCGGTCTGAATTGCCCGAATCTCTCTTCACGTGTGCACCAGGCACCTTACACCACGTGAACACTTGTCCGCCATCGTGCTGCGAGGTGCGAGTTGCAAGGTCCAGTGAACCCTCACTCCCCAGTCTCGATTATTCCCATCATTCATTCGGGCTAAGGTGGTCGAGCGAGTTCTTTGGTTCCTCTTCCATAGACCCTCTTCCCTTCGGGGAGGTGTGCGCTCCCCCATTCTCCCTGAGGCTTTGGGAGGGGCTCGCGAGGGTTAGAACGTTCAAGCTGGACCAAGATGGCTCCAGAAGGGCGCCCGATGCTCCAAGGTGGCCTCGGCCCAGGATAACCGACGATGGTTCAAGACAGCTTCGACATCCTTCCAAGAGGCCTGGCGCAGGCCACAAGACCGTTCCAAGTGCTCTCGGAGCCCCCTCAGGGTTCCCCCCCAGAGGCTCAATCCCTTAAATCACCGAATGTCCAGGGTTCAATATGGCCGCATGATGAGCCAAGAGAAGCCCAAGAGGGGCCCAGGAGGTCCCCCAGACGGCCCCAAGAGCTCCCAAGAGCAGCCCAAGAGCGCCACAAAAAGGCCCAAAATGTGATGCGAATGGCCCCAGGCAGGGGGGGATGCAAAGCGAGGCCCCCCCCCCCCCCCTTTGATCGATGTCCTCCAAGATGGCCCCAACAGGCCCTCCACGGATCCCAAGGGGCCCCCGAAGAGGGCTCCCAGAGGGCCCCAAGAGGGCCTCAAGACGCCCCAACATAGCTCCAAGAGGACCCCAAGATCCCTCACAAGAGTTCCGTGAAGGCTCCAAAGGGCGAGTCTGAGGGCTATGTCCTTGTCCGTCCTCCGCCTCCTCCGCGTCCTCCTCCTCGTCCTTGCCCCCTATCGTCTTCAATGTATTTGTTCCTCCTCTTCCTCGTCGTCGTGGTCGTCGTCGACGTCTTCTTTTTTTTTTTTTCCTCCTCCTCCTCCTCCTCCTCCTCCTCCTCCTCCTCCTCCTCCTCCTCCTCCTCGTGTTCCTCATCCTCCTCCTCCTCCTGCTCCTCCTCCTGCTCCTCCTCCTTCCCTCGCCCGCACGCGGGCTCAAGGGGCGGCCCGAAGAAAAGCCCTCCAAGGCCAACCCCTTGCTCCCAGAGATCTCTCTCTTTTCACTCTGGTTGCCCGCTTTGGTTCACTACATGCGTCTCTGCGCCCCTTTCCCCGTCAACTCTCATGGACAGGCTTTCCGGATGGGCTGAAAGTGGATTTTTGGTCGCGAGCGCAAGCCGTACAGCCGCGCACCGCCAGAACGAAACAACAACGCAACGACCTACATTACACACTTAGCGCACAGGAGCGAACTACGCTGCGGCTCAAAAAGCGCGGAAGACCAGGAAGGGTTCCAGGTCGACGTGCAGCACCAAAATGGCGATGAGCAGGAAGCCGACGAACTCGAAAACCGCCATGACGCAGCCGGAGACGACGAACGCGCGTGCAGGCGCTCAACGGATGAGTTCCGGACCGCCAGTGATGGGAGCGTGCCGGCGGCGGAAGCGCCGCCACGGCGGGGGAGCAGGAGAAACATCGCCAGCGCAACGTAGGAGCAGCGAAGGCGACGAGCCAGCGAAAAAGGCCACGCCCTGTGCTGGAGGCGGCGGCGCCCAAACCAGGGGCAAGAGCCGACCCTGGGGCTGGTGGGGATACGCGACGCGTGAAGATTTGGAGCTCAAGAAAAAAGGCCAATAACTTGAAATTCCGAAGTGTGGCGCGTGTTCCCGCAGATATCGTGGGACTTCCCGCGTGAGTTTTTCCAGAGGCCAGAGGGCGCCAGGACCAGCGAAGAGGGCCACGAGGCGGCCACAAGATGGCCCAAGAGGGCACCGATATGTTTCAAGATGGACCAAAACGGCCCGCGAGGCTAACCAACTGACCTCAAGTGACCTTTCTTTTTTTTCCCCGGGTAACGGCCGTTACCTGGGCGGGGGGAGGGGGGGAGGGCGGGAATGTAACGGCAACGGCGGCCGCGGCGTGCGCCCGCCAGGGTGCGTCCGCGCCACCGGCGCATCAATCGCCTGTGTACACGACACTGCCCAAATGCCTGCGCGCAACGCAGCGCCACTTATATAAAATCACGGTACAGCCGTACACCACAACAACCGCGTGCACTGAAGCACCACGTCGCTCATGCACACCGTAGTGCCTGCGTATACTGCAGCAACTGTTGTTGACAATGCCCTGCAGACAACTATTGTTAAAGGAGCCTTATGGAAACTGAAGCGCCGTTGGGTTCCATTAAATTATCCCGGCAAAGCAACCTAACAGCGATGTGTAGGAGCATATCTGGAAGCATTCCCCTTACGATTCAGATGAGAATCCAGTTGTAGAATTCTGCTGTTCTCGCAGCCGCAGTCGCATTCACGATGACAGTCGCAGTGGCAACGGCAGTGGCAGTCGCAGTCACAGCCTCAGCCTGCCTCAGCCTCAGCCTCAGCCTCAGCCTCAGCCTCAGCCTGCCTCAGCCTCAGCCTCAGCCTCAGCCTGCTTCAGCCTCAGCCTCAGTATGCCTTCAGCCTCGGCCTCGGCCTGCCTCAGCCTCACCCTGCATCAGCCTCAGCCTCAGCCTCAGCCTGCCTCAGCCTCAGCCTCAGCCTGCCTCAGCCTCAGTCTCAGTCTGCCTTCAGCCTCGGCCTCAGCCTCAGTCTGCCTCAGCCTCAGCCTGCATCAGCCTCAGCCTCAGCCTCAGCCTGCCTCAGCATCAGCCTGCCTCAGCCTCAGCCTGCCTCAGCCTTCCTCAGCCTCAGCCTCAGCCTGCTTCAACCTCAGCCTCAGTCTGCCGTCAGCCTCGGCCTCAGCCTGCCTCAGCCTGAGACTGCATCAGCCTCGGCCTCAGCCTCAGCCTCAGCCTGCCTCAGCCTCAGCCTCAGCCTGCCTCAGCCTCAGCCTCAGCCTGCCTCAGCCTCAGCCTCAGTCTGCCTTCAGCCTCGGCCTCAAGTGAAGTGAAGTGAAGTCCTGTCAAGGTGGCCCGCAAGGGGCAGGACCCTACGCAAAATCCTCAGGAGTGGAAGTGCGACTTCACCGAATATGAAAGAAAATCAGCCGTTAGACTTGCCCAATGATCTGCGTCCCCAGCAAGAAGTTGCCACTCCCCCAGCCCCCGGTCTCGGCAAAATCTTCTCACCGAGTCTTCAAAACGCATCCACCTGCGACTTGACGGACGCGTCGGGCGAAGCGAGCCCCACTCGCCAGAAGCAGCCTGCCAAGAAGAATCTCTCCACGCTGTGAAACCATTCAACCAGTCGATGGCGCCCGCCCGGGCCACGCGCCCTGCCCAGAGCCATTTCCTTCGGAAATGTTCCGGCGCCCACTCTTTGAGACCAGCACTTTCGGCGAAGCGGCGCACTCGCCGGGTGGCTCTTTGGACCCAGTCAACCCACGGCTCCCCGTCGGCGCGGCCACAGCCAACGATTCTCCGCAGCATCAAATATTGAGCCACGTTCAGCTTCCTGAGCTCCTCTGCCCTGGGCGTCCGCGACTCGCATCCCCATAGAGCGCATTCTGTGACAGTAGAATTAAATAAACGTAATCTTCTCCTCAAAGAATATGACTGGTTTAGAAACAACCTCTTCGTTGCCCAGAACTTGCGCCACCCGCAAGCGACGCGATGTTCCACTTCCTGGCCCGTCGGGTCCTCGAGAGAAACGCTGGTGCCCAAGAGTTCGAGATGTTCGCCCGGCTCCAATATTTCTACGGAAAAAACCCTCCGTCAGCACGGCGGCGCCCCTGCGTGTGAACTCGGCCCGGTTCGTCTGGACCTTGCACTTGGCGGGATGTAAGTCCAGGCCCACCTTCGCCAGAGCGTCCCGGAGCATTAGAATCATTCTTCTCATGGAGATTCAGCTTCTGGCTATGAGCGTCTGGTCATCTGCAAAAGCTACGTGCGTGAGGCACTTGCCGTTGATGCTTTGCCCCACCAACGTGCCGTGCCCTCTGCGATTCCACGTGCTGCTCACTTCGGAAAGGACCTTGTCCAACACCAGATTAAATAATGCCGGAGATAATGGGTCTCCTTGCTTCACACCCCGCTGCGCATCAAATGGTCTGCTCTCTGCCCCATCCCATAAAGAAACATATCCTCTGACTCCGTGATACCGCCGTCTCAATACACAAACTGTTGAAATCGAAATACCCGAATCCAGCAAGGCATTAAATAATGCTGAATGGTGCACGCGATCGAAAGCTTTCTCAACATCGAGAGTAGCGACCCAAAGTTCCTCTCCCCATTCAAGTGATTTTTCAATCACCGTTCTCACTATGTGTATTGCGTCTGCGCAACCACGCTGCGGTCTGAACCCGAACTGCTCTCTGGATAACTTCGAATCGATCGCGGCCGCAAGCCTGTTGTACAACACTGTGCTGAACAACTTCGCCATCACGGGCAATATTGCTATAGGTCTGTAGTTTTTTGGTCGGGACGGATCCCCCTTCTTGAACAACGCGCGAAATTTGGTAAACTTCCATTCTTCTGGCGGGTCCAGAGCCCCATTTAATACTTGCGAGAAGAATTCTGCGATGACACAAACCAAATGTGCATGCCCTGTCTTCAGCATCTCTGCTACCAGCCCATCGTCTGCCCCAGTTCTGCCGCCCTTCAGTTTCCTCAGCGTTTGTCGAAGTTCTGTTTCCGTCGCGCCTTCGTTGGCAGCTTCCTTCAATGGGGGCTCGATGGCGACAGTGGTATCTCGATACAAGTTTTCATAAAACTGCGCAAAAACCTCGCTGATTGATGCCTGGTCTGTCTGCGTGATACCGCTGTGGTCTTGGATCGCAAGAATTCTTTCGATGCCCTCGTGCTTCTGCTCAAGCCGTCGAAGTGCTCCCAGGCCAGCCCCTCCGACGACAAGTTGTTCCAACTCCAAATCTTGTTTTTTACGTCGTTGTCGTCGCAATGCCCTCCAGAGCTGCTTCGATAGGGAACGCCGTCTGTCTGGGTCCGTCTCATCCCGGCGCGCGTCAAATAAACGCTCGACTTCCGGACCATGTTTTGGACCGGACGTTGCCAGATGGTTGCGCTCCCCGGTCTCCACAGCCGCCTCCACCACCTTGGGGGTTGGGTCCACGTTGAAGTCGTGCTCAGCAAGGGCGCCGTCAAGGGAGTCGTGAAACTCGTTCGGGTTGCCGTCTGGCCCCCGGCGCGGCTTCCATCCCACTTGCAGTTTCTTTGTCGTCCTTTTCTTCGGCCGCTCCGTAACCTTCAAAGTTGTCGAAAACGCCCTGTGGTCCGACTTGCCGTCCAGAGAATGTGCGATACCCCAGCTTTGGACTCCTTTTGCTGCAATTTCGTCAACAAAGACATAATCTATTTGTCGTCGTTCCCCGGTGCTCCACAGCTGATGTGTCCATGCTTCGTCAAAAGGTTTGTCGATGAACGTGGTGGCCGCTGCAAGCTTCGCCCCGTGTAGCCATTCCGTGAGCATGTGACCTCTCCAACATATTCTGCCGTGGCCGCTGGGCCCTATGATATCGGGGGAATCCGTGCCATTCGGAATCCCAATGACAGCATTGGCATCCGTTCCGACGATGTTGGTGCAGCCCTTCCTCCGCCCTTCTTCCACCACATTCGCCAGGAGCTCAAGAAGTTCGTCATATTCATCATATGAGCGGTCTCTATGAGGAAAATGACAAGTCACAAGGCGGAGCTTCATGCTACCAGTCTCCAAATCAAGGCATGCAACTCGCCTCCCAAAAGCAGAGAAAACCAAACCAGCTCCTGACGTCACCCATTTCCTGTGTATTGCGATCGTCACGCTGCGCTTCCACTGCAAGCACGCCCCGCTATATACTGCATGCCCGTTTTGTGAAATAACATACGAATCAGAATGTACATAAGGTCCCTCATGTATCAAAACTGCGTCCCACTGTAAATCCGGAGAAAATAAATCGAACATGTCTTCTATGGCGCCTCCCTCCATGCCGCACGCGTTCCAGCACACGACACTGAAGTGAAATCCACTGTCTTGTCCAAGCACGTCTTGCATTGAATTCGTCTCGGCTGCCCCTGCCGGCGGCCTCAGAAAATTAAACGGCAAGTCGCCGTATACATTCGCATATTTACCCCTCCCCCCACCAGTTCCACTGCATTTGCTTTGCTGCAGTGGCGTTTCCTATTCGGCCTTCATGAGCTCGTCGAGCTTGCCCTGGAACGTCTGCGCGTCACCGATCAAGATCATCTTCTTCTCTTTGTCGTCCCACTCGGCGACCCGGGTGTCCTTGAACCACACAATGCCTTTGCGGTAGTGTGTGTCGATGAGCTTCTTTACATGCTGCGGGTCCTTCCCGCCTCGGCCTCGGCCTCAGCCTCAGCCTGCCTCAGCCTCAGCCTGCATCAGCATCAGCCTCAGCCTCAGCATGCCTCAGCATCAGCCTGCCTCAGCCTCAGCCTCAGCCTGCCTCAGCCTCGGCCTCAGCCTGCACCAGCCTCAGCCTCAGTCTGCCTTCAGCCTCGGCCTCAGCCTCAGCCTGCCTCAGCCTCAGCCTGCTGCAGCCGCAGCCTCAGCCTCAGCCAGCCTTCTCAGCCTCAGCCTGAGCCTGCTTCAACCTCAGCCTCAGTCTGCCTTCAGCCTCAGCCTCAGCCTCAGGCTGCATCAGCCTCAGCCTCAGCCTCAGCCTGCCTCAGCATCGGCCTGCCTTCAGCCTCGGCCTCAGCCTGCCTCAGCCTCAGCTGCTTCAGCCTCAGCCTCAGTTTGCCTTCAGCCTCGGCCTCAGCCTGCATCAGCCTCAGCCTGCATCAGCCTCAGCCTCAGCCTCAGCCTGCCTCAGCATCAGCCTGCCTCAGCCTCAGCCTCAGCCTGCCTCAGCCTCAGCCTCGGCCTCAGCCTGCATCAGCCTCAGCCTCAGTCTGCCTCAGCCTCGGCCTCAGCCTCAGCCTGCCTCAGCATCAGCCTGCCTCAGCCTCAGCCTCAGCCTCAGTCTGCCTCAGCATCAGCCTGCCTCAGCCTCAGCCTCAGCCTGCCTCAGCCTCAGCCTCAGCCTGCTTCAGCCTCAGCCTCAGCCTCAGTCTGCCTTCAGCCTCGGCCTCAGCCTCAGCCTGCCTCAGCCTCAGCCTCAGCCTGCCTGCCTCAGCCTCAGCCTCAGCCTGCCTCAGCCTCAGCCTCAGTCTGCCTTCAGCCTCGGCCTCAGCCTCAGCCTGCAGCCTCAGCCTCAGCCTGCCTCAGCCTCAGCCTCAGCCTGCCTCAGCCTCAGCCTGCCTCAGCCTCAGCCTCAGCCTCAGCCTCAGCATCAGCCTGCCTCAGCCTCAGCCTGCAGCCTCAGCCTGCCAGCCTCAGCCTCAGTCTGCCTTCAGCCTCGGCCTCAGCCTCAGCCTGCCTCAGCCTCAGCCTGCCTCAGCCTCAGCCTCAGCCTGCCTCAGCCTCAGCCTCAGCCTCAGCCTCAGCCTCAGCCTCAGCCTCAGCCTCAGCCTTCAGCCTCGGCCTCAGCCTCAGCCTGCCTCAGCCTCAGCCTGCATCAGCCTCAGCCTCAGCCTCAGCCTGCCTCAGCATCAGCCTGCCTCAGCCTCAGCCTCAGCCTGCCTCAGCCTCAGCCTCAGCCTGCTTCAGCCTCAGCCTCAGTCTGCCTTCAGCCTCGGCCTCAGCCTCAGCCTGCCTCAGCCTCAGCCTGCATCAGCCTCAGCCTCAGCCTCAGCCTGCCTCAGCATCAGCCTGCCTCAGCCTCAGCCTCAGCCTGCCTCAGCCTCAGCCTCAGCCTGTTTCAACCTCAGCCTCAGTCTGCCTTCAGCCTCGGCCTCAGCATCAGCCTGCCTCAGCCTCAGCCTGCATCAGCCTCAGCCTCAGCCTCAGCCTGCCTCAGCATCAGCCTGCCTCAGCCTCAGCCTCAGCCTGCCTGGGTCTCAGCCTCAGCCTGCTTCAGCCTCAGCCTCAGTCTGCCTTCAGCCTCGGCCTCAGCCTCAGCCTGCCTCAGTCTCAGCCTGCCTCAGCCTCAGCCTGCCTCAGCATTCAAAATGTCGCCCGGGAATGGAAATCTGGGAACTCGAAGAACACGAAGTGGCCTACAGTTGTTTCCGGGCATTCAAAATCATGCCCAAGGAAAAAAATCTGGGAACTCGAAGACCACGAAGTGGCATACAGTGAGCTCCGGGGATTCAAAATCATGCCCAATAGTGGAGTTCTGGGAATTCGAAGACCACGAAGTGGCCTACCGTTGGCTCCGGGCATTCAAAATCATGCCCAAAGAAGAAATTTTGGGAACTCGAAGACCACGAAGTGGCCTACAGTTGGCTCCGGGCATTCAAAATCATGCCCAAGAATGGAGCTCTGGGAATTCGAAGAGCACGAAGTGGCCTACAGTTGGCTCTGGGCATTCAAAATCATGCCCAAGGAAAACAGTTTCGGGAACTCGAAGACCACGAAGTGGCCTACAGTGAGCTCCGGGCATTCAAAATCATGCCCAATAATGGAACTCTGGGAATTCGAAGACCACGAAGTGGCCTACAGTTGGCTCCGGGCATTCAAAATCATGCCCGGGAAAACAGTTTGGGGAACTCGAAGACCACGAAGTGGCCTACATTTGGCTCCGAGCATTCAAAATCATGCCCAAGAATGGAGTTCTGGGAATTCGAAAACCACGAAGTGGCCTACAGTTGGCTCCGGGCATTCAAAACCATGCCCAAGAATGGAGTTATGGGACCTCGAAGACCACGAAATGTGTAACTGCTTGCTTAAAACGACTTCCGCGGCTTCTCCCCGGCACCCGCCCAGACCCTCTTGGGGAGTCAAGATGGTCTCTCTTGACACTAGTAGAATCATATCAGTCCTCGCTGTTAGACAAAAACCCATTTCCATATAGAAATTGAAGAGATCGTTATGGAAAGCGGAGCGCATCTGGACTCCACTGAAAAACCTTTGTTTGGTAAAGGAAGCCCTCTGGACATTGGGGCGCCTCTGGGTCCCACCGAAAACGAACATTATGTATACGTTTTAACAGAACCCGTATGGAAGCTGGAACGCCTGAGGATTCACACGCGTGCACCACAACGCCTGCGTACACCACAACGCCTGCGTACACCACGGCAGCCGCGTGCAACACAGCGCCCGTGTACACCACAATGATTGCGTGCACCACGGCGCTTGCATACACCACAGCGCCTGCGTACACCGCAGCAGCCGTGTGCAACGCGGCGCTGGTGTGCACCACGCTGCCTGCGTGAACAACAGCGCCCGCGCGCACAACAGCGCCCGCGGGAGAAAGCGCGGGGCCGCCCAGTCTTCATCTTCTCATTGGCGCTGGGTCAGTACTTGATATGTGCATGAAGCACGGGTGGTAAGGACGCAAGACCCTTGGAAACCGAAGTTGGGATTTGTTTTGCGAAAGCTGGCCAATGAAAGCAGCAAAGGACAGGCCGCAGAGGTAAGGACACACGGGTTTCTTGGAGAAGGCGGCGTCCTTATATGGTGCGTTGACTGTATGGCGCTGCGCACCTGCCAGGCGAAAGATACAGAGAGCCACCGCATGTTGCACTTGCGGAAGAGTGGTCGAACCAGCCTGCGGTAACTGAGCCATCGCCATCTGCATTGGACGACGACGACGAAGACGACGACGAAGACGGCGAAGACGACGACGACAGACGACCGAAAAGACGACGACGACGACGACGGCGACAACGGACGACGGACGACGGACGACGGAGAAGACGACGACGACGACGACGACGACGACGACGACGACGACGACGACGACGACGACGACGACGACGACGACTGCGAGCACCACAACACGTTTGTAAGCACCAATGCGTGCCGTTCAGACCACGCCATGCCTGTGAGCACAGCACCATATCTCAGGGGGGTCCGCTCCCAGCATGTAGGGGGGGGCAGGACCTCCTCCCCCACGGCACGATCGCTAGGCGTTACCCATGGGGGGGAAGGCTGGCCCAGGTAACGCGCGTTACGCCGGAGAGGAAAGAAACGCTCACCAAGATGCCCCAAGAGGATCCCAAGAGGACCCCGAAGAGGGCCCAAAAGCCACTGGTGCATTAATCGTGTTCGAGCGATTTGAGCGTTCTCGCCCTTTCGGGCTTCCAGCGATCCGAGGCGGCCCAGGTCCCCAAGACTGGCCCCCAAGACGGCCCAAGAGAGCCCCCAGACGGCTCACGAAGCCCCGAAGACGAGCCCAAGGCCCCCAAAACGGCCCCACATGGGAGACCAAACCAAAAATATAGCCCTCCACCCCAAGACGGCCCCAAGGTCCCCAAAGAGGCTCCCTACGCGCACCCAAGAGGCACCAAGAGGCTGCCAGGAGGCCCCACAGAGGCCCCCAAGAAGCCCCAGGACGTCCCCCAAAGGAGGCCCCGAGAGGCCCAAGAGCACTCATACAAAAAACCCAAGGGGCATCCGATGAGACTTTCATGTGCATCCAAGGCGCACCTGACCCCAAACGCAGGCACGTTTGCAGGATGGGCCGAAGGCCGCTATATATACACACAAACACACACACACACACACACACACACACACAAACACACACACACACACACGCAAACATGCGCTAGAACCGCACGCGAATCGCGAGAACTTAGGTCACAGTCGCTGCTTTACCACGTCATGCTTCCATCCACCCTTGCCACCTTACCCAGATTGGCAGGAGCGCATTCACGCTTGGGTTTCACTCTTGCTGGGCGCACCAGGGTGCAGGGGAAACCGATCTGGCCTCGGCCGTCTATGGGCGTATTCGGGCTACCGTGAATTAGTATGGGGGTCTTCCGATGAGTATCTTGGAGCACTGCTGTGCGATCTGGGGGGGGGGGGGGTCAGCGGTTCCCTATGAGCCTCTAGGGGCTCTTCCAAGGCCGCGTAGGAGCCCTCTCGGAGCCGCTGTTCGAGCTGTTTCAGCAGAACCGTCCGGCAGAAGTGTGTCGCGTCCTGATCAGAAGCGAGGGCGTCATGACCATGAACATGCTCATCTTCACCGCGCGCTCGGCAATCCTTCTCCCCTTCCTCCTCTTCCTCCCGCCCTCGCACAATCCCTGCTCCTCCACCTGGAGTCGCTGATCTTCCACCTCGTCCTCCTCCTCGACCTCCTCCTGCTCCTGCGCGACGACATCGAGGGCGGCAGGTCTCCACATCGGCGGCCGACCTCTCCGACGCCGTCTGGGGTTTCTCCTCCTGAGCGGGGGGGAACGGGATCTGTCGGTCCGAGTGCGACTGGACAACGTGCTAACAACGCCTGAGAACAACACTTGCTCAGCAACAGCATCTCTGCGTCTGTCTGTTTCAATAGTGAAAAGCCAGTGTCTCTGGAGCTGGGCCTGGTCGTGGAACTTAAAAGCACAGGGCAGCCAGAGGTAGGGAAGGGATTGAAGGAGGAAGAAGAAGGAGGAACCCCTGCCGGAGCAGGAGCAGGACGAGGAGGCGCAGGAGGAACGGGAGCAGATAGAGGATGATAAAGGACGAGAGTGGCAGAGGAGGAGGAGGAGGAGGAGGAGCAGGAGCAGGATTAGGAGCAGGAGCGCAAGTCAGAAACTGGAATTGGGTGAGAAACCTTGACGGTGCGGGCGAAGCGCCCCCACAGCCTGGAAAAGGAGGAGAAGGAGGCACCACGACAGGCAGTTGGACTTGCCCGCCGTCCTCCGCACATCCGGCGTCAGACAAGCGGCTGCTGTGAGGCTTTTGCGGAGGGCGCAGTGCGCTGCGTTCTGGGGCCACGTAGCTGCGCGGACGCTCTGGGCCTGAACCCAAGGGCCTTTCCTCGTCCTCCTCGTCCTCCTAATCCCCCTCCTCCTTCTCCTCCTCCTCATCCTCATCCTGATCCGCCTCCTCCTCCTCCTCCTCCTCCTCCTCCTCCTCCTCCTCCTCCTCCTCCTCCTCCTCCTCCTCCTCCTCCTCCTCCTCTTCGGTGTTTCCCAGGCCCATCGGTCCTGAATCCTCCAGAAAAAATCAGCCGACCCCTTGTGGGTCTCGAGGAGTGTGAGATAGTTCCCCCACCATAACCCCCCCCAGGGACCCTAAACAGGTGATTTGACCCCCCCCCCCTTGCCCTGGGGCACCCACCGCCGAACGCGCCATGGGGGAGCAAAAGGTCCCGAAACTGGCCAAAAGCGCACAAACGGGCCCACGCGACGGTCCAAAAAGGCCTCAAGAGGCCTCCAAGACGGCCCACGAGGGCCCCGAGACGCCAAACGAGCACTCCAAGACGCCCAAGATGGCCCAAAGACGGGCTAAGAGGCCTAATAGACAGCCCAAGAGGTCCCCACGAGGCCCCAAGAGGCCTCCAAGATGCGTCCCAAAAGGGTCCCTAGACGCAAACATGTCCCTTTCGTAAAACGTGCAATTTTCACAAACTCGCCGTCTGGGTTTTCCGATGCTCCCAGACGGCCCAAGAGGCCCCCAAGACCGCCCCAAGACGGCCCAAGAAGCCTCCAAGAGGGCCCCAAGATAGCCCAAGAGGGCCCCAAGACGGCCCAACAGGCGTCCAAGACGACCCAAGAGGGCCCCGAAGACGGCCCCAAGAGCGCTCCAGGAACGCTCCAAGTGGCCTCCAAAAGAGCTCAATCTGGTCCCAGACGGTCCGGGAGCGATCAAAGACACCGAAGATGGCCTCCAGACGGCCCAAGATGCCCCAACAGGCCCCAAGAGGCATCCAAGATGCGCCCCAAGAGGGCCTCTAGAAGCAAAAATTGGCCCCCTCGTTCGTAAAACGTACATGTTTCACACATTCGCCTTTTGAGCTTTCCGACGCTCCCAAACGGCCCAAGAGGCCCCCAAGACCGCCCCAAAACGGTCCAAAAAACCCCCAAGAGGGCCCCAAGACAACCCAAGAGGGCGCCAAGACGGCTCCAGAGGCGCCGAAGACAGCCCAAGAGAGCCCCGAAGACGGCCCCAAGAGCGCTCCAGGAGCGCCCCAAGTGGCTACCAAGACAGCCCAACATGGTCCCACACGGTCCAAGAGCGATCGAAGACACCCGGGATGGCCTCCAGATGGCCCAAGACACCCGAGATAGCCTCCAAGAGGGTCCCTAGACGCAAAAATGTGCTCATGTCCTTCGTGAAACGCATATGTTTCACAAGTTCGCCTCGTAGGCTTTCCAACGCTCCCAGACGGCCCAAGAGGCCCCGAAGACCGCCCCAAAACGGCCCAAGAGGCCCCCATGACGGCCCCACGACGGCCCAAGATGCCTCCAAAACGGCCCAAGAGGTCCCCAAGACGGCCCAAGAAGGCCCCAAGACGGCACCAAGAGGGGCCCAAGAGGGCAACCAAAAATTGAAAAATCTAGCTGTCCGCCCACACGAGCCCCAGGGGGCCCCAAGAGTGCCCCAAGAGGCCGCCAGAGGCCCCCAAGAGGCCGCCAAGACGCCCCAAGGAGCCCCCAAGAGGCCCCCAGGAGGCCTCAAAAAGACCCCCATACGCTTCCGTATTGCGAGCCGTCAAGCCAACTGCAATGCACTCCGCGCATACAGCCTTGCTCTTCCTCGCGACGTGCTCACTATCTTGCTCGGCGCTAATGTGCTGCTGTTTCGTGCTCGCTGCGAACGTCAACAGCCTCTTCACCCGTTTCGACTCATCTGCCACATCCTTCGCGGTGATGCTTCGCTGATCACAGTTTCGCACACTACTCTTGCTCCTTTCGTCTTCCGGTGGTCCTCCACCTGGCTGCGGGTCGAAAGGCCGACCTCCCAGAAGGACACCCCGCACCCGGGTGCACAGGACGCAAGGCGCCCGCAAAACACGCCCCAGACCACCGGCATCACGCAAACATTTGGACCCCCCACGTATCTGGCACCACCCGCGCGCGACACCGCACCCTCACACAAGACGCCGCTGGCCAGAAACTCCTGGCAGCGCAACACTCACGGAAGGGGTCGGCGGATGTGGCGTAAGCCTGTAGAACCTTCCCAGAACTCGCCGAAGGGGATATCAATGCAATCCTGGTGGCACCCTCCGGCCCAGACATCTTTGCGCCCTTTCTTCCTGACAGGTGATCCCGCTCGGGCGCGGCGCACACTTTTCGTTCGACAATTCGTCGGCGCGCGAACAGCCGAGAAAGTCGTTCTCGCCTCGGCCTCGCGCAGGTTTTGTCCGAACGTGCCCTTCCGCCTCGGCGGGGCGCATACTTCCACTCGCATAGTCGTTGCGGGCGAGGCCGCGCGCGAGCAGGCGGCACGTCGGCCTCGCCTGGCTCTATTCAGATTTCGTTCCAAGTGGCGTTCCCGCGTGGGCGCTGCGTATGTTTCGCTCGCCGCGCGGCAGCATGCATGCTCTCCTTGCCCAAGCTTCGCGCAGTTTCCTCACGAGAGTAGCAGCGCTGTTGTTTCGGTGCGGCGCGTGCTTCGTCGACGCCTCGCTCCTCCAAAATGGGGCCGCCCGAGAAACGGTGTAGTGGTAATCCCGCCGCAGCGCCTCGCAAGGGATTTGGTCTTCAACTCCACTCCCGCACGGGCGCGCCCCACGGTTTCTCCCCCTCGCCAAGTCGTCGGAAGCGGGACCGCGCGCGAGCGCTTTCCGTTCGCTAGGCGGGAACGCACACCTATGCGGATGTCACGATGTGCCACCATTGAGCAAACATGTATCATGATGTTATGGGGGGAGGTCGGACTGTCCAGAGCAAGAGGACTCCTTTACTCTGGCTAGTTCGACTCCTCACGTATCACTCCTCTTCCTGTTCCTCCCGTCAATCCTTGCGCAGCCGAGTCCCTCCAGACGAAAGAGCAGGGCGGCGGGCGACGACGAGCGGCGTGAAACACGAGCGCCGAGCCTGTCACAGTTACCATCAACCTTTCATCATCATCAGCATCAGCCTCATCAGCCTCATCATCTCCATCATCATCACCATCATCAGTATCATCATCAGCAGCAGCATCACCATCATCATCATCCTCATCATCATCAGCATCATCATCATAGCCATCAACATCACCATCACTATCACCATCGCCATCGCCACCACCATCAACATCATCATCGCCATCACCATCACCTTCACCATCACCATCAATATCTCCATCACCAAGACCTTCCACATCGTCGTCATCATCGTCAGAACCGTCATCAGCATAGACAGCATCACAATCATCACTGCTGCATCCTCAACCTTTTCCTCTTAACCCGTTCCTCCTCCTCTTCTCTGACTCAATCATCCGATCCTCCACTTTCCGTTCCCACACACTTCCATCATCCACTCATCCACCCCATCCACGTGCCTTCGTGATCATGCTCATCGGATCCCCTGCTCCTCCTTATCCATATCATTTTCCTTCCTCCAAAGCATGCAATGCCCCCCATCCTCTCATCCTCGCACAAAAATGTCCACATTCTCTCCATCATCGTCGTCCTGCTCCTCCTCCTTCTCCTCAACCTCCTCCGGATCAGCATCACCACCATCACCATCACCACCACCACCATCATCATCATCATCATCATCATCAGCAGCATCATCATCATCGTCAGCATCATCAGCAGCATCATCAGCATCATCAGCATCAACAACAACATCGTCATCATCGTCATCGTCATCATCATTGGATTTCAGCGTCAACCACGCTCTGGACTGAGAGGTCGCTTTGAGGTCATGCCCATCCGTTTTCAAGGCACGGCCCTGTGGCGTAGCTACGTGTGGCCAAAAACGATCGAGTTCCCCCAAAGCTTTCTGACGAAAAACGTGGAAGAGGAGGAAGAAGGAGGGAGGTAAGGGGATGGAGAATGATTAAGAGAAGGATAAGGAAGAGCAGATACAGTAGGGACGGTTGAGAAGTTTGGGATATGAGATCGACGACTATGTAAGAAGCTCGGGAAGCGCTGCACGAACCAATGCGGGCGACATCCTCAATGTGTACAAATTTACACAGTCCAACACAATGATGGGAGATCGTCATGCGACACAGCAGACTCAGAACCTGCGAGTTTTGTCGGGCTGGCTTGTAGGTCCTCTCCTGTTGCCTTGGGGTTCGATGTGAGAACGCTTCGCGATGAACTCATATCCAGCATCGGAGCAGGCTTTGTTGTAATGTCACGAGAGACCACCATGGTGAACGACGGCGGCCAGATTCTCTCCGCCGGTCTCCTCGGCAACTTGCTCTGCCTTCTCGTCACCCATTGCTGCCTCCGCGCCGTCCATCCACTTGGTGTACTCTGACACCACCTTCTCCTCCTGCAGGGGGAGAGGGGGGGGGGGGGCGAAAGGACGAAAACCGTAGCTGCCTCTACATTCAGTCATCTCTAAGCCAAGACCCTCTGTCTTCCCCAAGGACATCCGACACGAACGAAAAGATCAGCAAAATGTAAAGAAAACATCCCCGGCAGATGAAGAACATGGAATAAGGAACGAAACCTACTCGACTCCCAGTTCAGGCTACTGTCAGAGTTTTGCATCCACGGGACCGCATCTGGCCTCACGACCACCGATAAAACATCCGAGGTTCACGACGAAAGAACCGTCTCAGGGATGGTGAAGAGATCTGGGGCTCACGTGGAAAGACGCCTGCAAAGCGCGTACGCATGTGCGGGTTGGAAGCACCAGCAACAGCTCTTTCAAGTAAGATGAGACGGAGCGCCAGACGGCTATGGAGCAGAAACTAGAGCGGATGAGCGAAGCAGGACTGGAGAAACAAAATGGGGAAGCGGGGACCGTTTGACCTCCAGACGTTTGAATGGCCCCTCATTCGGAAAAACGCCAAGGGCTGTTCATCACAGGTGAAGTTCCACGGCAACAACGCTCGGGTGATTACCTGCTGGTAGCGGCAGAAATTGCCCAACCACCTAGAGAACATCAACATATCGTGGCTGCTAGTGTTGGACCATGGAGAGGTAAAGCAGATGACGCGAGTACATTACCTCGCACAGCCCGCTTTGTTTTGCAATCAATGCCTGCTAACTTTCTACAGCGGCGCATTTCCCAAGCCACGTGTCAAGGCGCAACGCGCTCGGCACGATGGCGAAAATGTGGCACCTTGGTAACCTCGGCCCAAATCAACGTGGCGCAGGCAGAAGCCACCTCAGCCATGAACTCGCCCACCAGCGTGGCCACGTTGCACTTGGCTCCGCGGGTCGGACCCGGGGAGGGGCCAGCGGGTCCCACCACTCCCGACCGGTCCACCTCTCCCCGGGGGGGCTCCGTGTGCGAATTCAAACCATTCAGAGCGGCGCCGCCCCCCACGGATCCCGCGGGCGGAGCGGCAGCGGGTCTGAGTCTCCGCGAGGGGGTCCCAAAGCGCGCTGGGCTGGGCGTCGCCCAGAATGTCTCAGGGGGCCGGCCTCCTCCCGCGCCAGGCGCGGGGGGCATAGAGGGACCCACCGAGGGAGCGTGGGGAGGGCGCTCAGGGGGCCGCGTGTAGGGGCGTTGGCGTCCCCCGCCTCCACCCATAGTTCCTCCTACGAGATACACATCGGGAGAGGCTGAGGCACACCCCACCAATTTTTGCGCGGCACCTCTGCAGCCTGGGCATCCCCGGGCGGCGCCCCATCCCGGGATAGAGTCTGGGGGCTGGCCCCAGGAGGCGCCAGAAAGCGGGGGTCCACCCACCTTACAAGGGCCAGAAGCCCGGCGAGGGCGGAGACCGCGCTCATTGCGAATATCGACACCATCCTTTGGGTTCAGGGTGCGGTAGCGCCACTTGCTAAAAAGGAAGAAATCAACTCGAGCCAACGGGCTGCAAGAAGAGGAAGGGGAAAGGAAGGACAGTTCTACGGCTCCGCGTGGGAATCCTATTGTTATAGCCTGCGCACTGGCATGAACATGTATGTATACGTATGTGGACTCCTTCGCGGACAGAAAGATAGACAGATGCACATCCAGATTGATGTCTCGATGTGTGTTCACTCGTGAGTTGAGATGCGCGTCCACTACAATACCAGTCACAGATGATGTCCCACCCACCCCCAACCTCCATATCACCCGAAGGGTGGTTTCTGCGTTATTGCCTACGTTCTCTTAGTTGTGTGTTCTCTCTCTCTCTCTCTCCCTCTCTCTCTCTGTCATACGCTCTCCCAAAGGACCCAAATCCTGGATTCCAGAATCCTGGGCGCTCTCGGGCGTTTCTGGGCACTTCCAGCCTGCGTCGCGTGACTTTTATCAAGGCTTCGGGGGCGTGGTTGGGAGACGGCTCTTCCCACGCGTCTTCAGGTGGCTCCAAAGGAGGACCGTTCTGGCTCTCTCTTTGGGGCCTATCGGGCCGTATCGTATGCCCTGGGGACCAGCTCACGACCCGGTCGCGCTGGGGCTCCCCTGGATGATTCGATCTTGTTTGCTTTCGAGGGGGTTCCCCGAGGTTCCCTGGCTCTGTTTCCTTACACGGCGGTACCAGGGTCCCTTGAAGAGACCATCCTGGGGTTTCTTGGGTTCCTTGGACATGCTCCTGCCGACTTTAGGAAAAGGCGTTCTTCAGGCTCCCCGGGTTCCTTGGTTCGTTCCCTTACTGCTCTCGTAAAAGGCCTTCCTCGGGTTCCACATGTTCTTTCGTTCCCTACCTAGGCTCTGCCTAGCAGGGTTCTTACTCTCTTGGCTTACAGGGCCAGGCAATGGGAACCGGCCCGGGCGGTTCCCACAGTATCCGCCCCGCGGTCCCCCTAGTTGCGCCCCCTAGCTTAGCTTAGCTTAGCTTATCTCATCTTAGCTTAGCTTAGCTTAGCTTAGCGTAGCTTTGCCTAGCCTAGCCCAGCTTAGCTTTAGCTTAGCTTAGCTCATGTTAGCTTAGCTTAGCTTAGCTTGGCTTAGCTTAGCTAGCTTAGCTTAGCTCAGCTGAGCTGAGCTTAGCCTAGTTTAGCTCAGCTTAGCGCAGCACTATCACAGCATAGCATAGTATAGCATAGCCAAGGTAAAAGCAAACGCGCGGGGGTCCCCCAGTTGCGTTCCCTGGGTGCCAAGCGAAAGCAAAAGCAAAGGCAAAAGTGAAGGCAAAAGCGAAGGCAAGCAAACTCATAGCATAGCATAGCATAGCGCAGCATGGCATAGCGCAGCATAGCATAGCATAGCAACACCTAGCCTAACCCAGCATAGCATTGCGCAGCATTCATAACATAGCATAGCATAGCAGAGCATAGCATAGCGCAGCACAGCATACACTATCTCCGTGCCTGCTTGTTTCTGCTGCTGTCTCGGCGACGTGCTGCCTGCTTCTGCTGCTGCTTCACTTACGGCGTGGCGTCGGCGGTTCTGGTGCTACTACTACTACTACTACTACTACTACTACCACTACTACTACTACTACTACTACTACTACTGCTACTACTACTACTACTACTACTACTACTACTACTACTACTACTACTACTACTACCACTACCACTACCACTACTACTACTACTACTACTACTACTACTACTACTACTACTACTACTACTACTACTACTACTACTACTACTACCATACTACTACTACTACTACTACTACTACTGCTACTACTACTACTACTACTACTACTACTACTACTACTACTACTACTACTACGACTACTACTACTACTACTACTACTACTACTACTACTACTACTACTACTACTACTACTACTACTACTACTACTACTACTACTACTACTACTACTACTACTACTACTACTACTACTACTACTACTACTACTACTACTACTACTACTACTACTACTACTACTACTACTACTACTACTACTACTACTACTACTACTACTACTACTACTACTACTACTACTACTACTACTACTACTACTACTACTACTACTACTACTACTACTACTACTACTACTACTACTACTACTACTACTACTACTACTACTACTACTACCGCTACTGCTACAACTACGACGATGAGGAGAAGGAGGGGGACGGCGTTTACCGCTCCTACTAATGTTGCTTTCCTAGAGGCTCCAACTCCTAGGCAGGGTCGCACTGGGATAATGTTTGTTCCTTCTTGATTTTGGATAAACCTTCCTCGGATTCCCCAGTTTCCCTGGTTGCGTTTCATTACTGTCTCCAAGAAGGATTTCCTCGAGTTCCTCGGGCTCCATGGCCTTGTTCCCCATATGTTTCGTGGAGTTCTGGTTTTCTTCCCTGTCGCGCCGCAGCCGCGTTCACCTTCACCTCCTTCCTCTGCTCCTGTAGCTCCCTTCCCTCAGACACTCATCTGGGCACCCACATGAGACACACGTGCAGAATACGGCACACACATGAGACACGCGTCTACATACAGACGCACGCATGCACACAGTCGCACACACACACACACACACCATACAACGCTAGTGCACGCCTGGCGTGTTTACTGCATCAGACACCCAAAATGTATCCACAACATACTGGGCACCCACACGAGACTACATACAGCCGCACGCATGCACACACTCGCTCACACAACACATACCATACAACGCTAGTGCACGCCTGGCGTGTTCACTGCATCATACACCCACGACGTATGCGCCACATGCTGAGCACACACACATGACACACACGTCCCGATACGGCCGCACACGCATCATACACATACACATGACACGCCATACACAAAACGTGCGTGTAGGATTCGCAGTACATGGCCGGAAACTCCATGGGGCCATGGCGCAGGGCACGGCAGGCGTGGTACTTTTTCAACATACAGCCGCACTCGCATCATATCTACGACACGCTCACCACGCAACACATGCGCGACAATAGGAAGCGCGGCACTTTCTCGACACTTGAGGGGGTGCGCAGGGGGTGGTCTCTCACCGCGGCCGCTGTGCGCGTCTTTCTGGTCCAGGCACAGCAGGCGTGGCACTTTCTCGACACTTGAGGGGGTGCGCAGGGGGTGGTGTCTCACCGCGGCCGCTACGCGCGCCTCTCGTCCAGGGCATGGCAAGCGTTGCACTTTCTCGACACTAGAGGGGGTGCGCAGGGGGTGGTCTCTCACCGCGGCCGCTATGCGCGCCTCTCGTCCACGGCATAGCAGGCGTGACACTTTCTCGACACCAGAGGGGGTGGTCTCTCACCACGGTCGCTATGAGCGCCTCTCGTTCAGGCACAGCAGGCGCGGCATTTTCTCGACACTTGAAGGGGGTGCGCAGGGGGTGGTTTCTCACGGCGGCCGCTATGCGCGTTTCCCGTCCAGGCAACGCGGGCGTTGCACTTTCTCGACACTAGACGGGGTGCGCAGGGGGTGGTCTCTCACCGCGGCCGCTGTGCGCGTCTCTCGCCCAGGGCATAGCAGGCGTTGCATTTTCTCAACACCAGAGGGGATGCGCATGGGGTGGTCTCTCACGGCGGCCGCTATGCGCGCCTCGCGTCCACGGCATAACAGGCGTTGCACTTTCTCGACACCAGAGGGGGTGCGCAGGGAAAGATCTCTGACCGCGGCCGCTATGCGCGCCTCCCGCCCACGGCATAGCAAGCGTGGCACTTTCTCGGCACCGTAAGGAATACGCAGAGGGTGGTCTCTCACCGCGGCCGTTATGCGCGCCTCTCGTCCAGGGCATGGCAAGCGTTGCACTTTCTCGATACCAGAGGGGGTGCGAAGGGGGTGGTCTCTCACTGCGGCCGCTATGCGCGCGTCTCGTCTACGGCAAAGCAGGCGTGGCATTTTCTCAACACCAGAGGGGATGCGCAGGGGGTGGTCTTTCACGGCGTGTGCTACGCGCGCCTCTCGTCCAGGCAACGCGGGCGTTGCACTTTCTCGACACTAGAGTCTAGAGGGGGTGCGCAAGGGGTGGTGTGTCACCGCTGCCGCTATGCGCGTCCCGCGTCCAGGGCATAGCAGGCGTGCCACTTTCTCAACACTAAAACGGGATGCGAAAGGGGGCGGTTTTTGACCGCGGCCGCTACGCGCGCCTCTCGTCCAGTACTTAGCGGGCGTGGCACTCTCTCGACACCATAAAGAGTGCGCAGAGGGTGGTCTCTAACCGCGGCCGCTATGCGCGCCTCTCGTCCAGGGCGCAGCAGGCGTGGCACTTTCTCGACACCATGAGAGGTGCACAGAGGGTGGTCTCTCACCGCGGCCGCTATGCGCGCCTCTCGTTCAGGCATAGCAGGCGTGGCACTTTCTCGACACCAGAGGGAGTGCGCAGGGGGTGGGTTCTCTCAGAGTGTAGGGCGAGCGGCATTTTCAAGAGGACGCAAGGGTGCACAAACCTGGGGGGGGGGGGGGGGCGTCATCATCATCATCATCATCATCATCATCATCATCATCAGCATCATCACCATCAACAACAACATCATCAACAACATCATCATCATCATCATCATCATCATCATCATCATCATCATCGTAATCATCATACTCATCAAAAAATGTAGCCATCCTGGCTCATGCCGGCTCACGCAGCTCGATCGGTGAAAGCTGACGACCGCCAGTGAAACTCCGTCAAAGGTAAGGTCCCTGTCATGGCGCCCAAATGCGCCATCACCGATCACAGCATTGCCACGTTCGTGCGAGCAGCTCAAAAACACAATGTTGGATATGGGCGCCGAGGTGAAACTAGATGGTTTGCGCGCATATGTTGTCAGGCATGGGAACGTTTTGGTACACAACGCACTTCATGCTTACCAGCGACAGCTTCTGAATTGGTGGCCTGGGACGCTCCTCGCCAGGTACAACAATTTGCCGCATCAGCGAGGCGACGACGATGCAAGGAGGCTGTGCTTGGTCAGGTACTTGCAAAACCCTTTTTCCCGCGGGGTCTCCCAGCTGATCAGCCGAGGGTGGCGGAGGGTAGCGATGGTTCGCCATTGGTGAGAATTCGGCGGGTCGGCGATGCCGGCAACGGGCGCGTTGCCGCGCCCGCGCAGGATACGCCCATGAAGCCCACGCCCATGCAGGCCATCACTCCCCAGCGGTCCCCAGCAGTTCTGCTTTCTACCTCTGTTCGTTCCACAGGCACCCCTGGCATTCAGCTGTCCCCATGAGCGGGCGGAGACGGACCGCCGTTGGGCAACAGGGCGCAGCAGGCGTGGCACTTTCTCGACACCGTGGGGGGTGCGCAGGGGGTTGTCCCTGAGCGCGGCCGCTATCCGCGAAGGTCGTCCAAGGCATAGCAAGTGGCACTTTCCCGACACCATAGGGGGGGCGCAGGGGGTGGTCCCTGAGCGCGGTCGCTATCCGTGCCGGCCGTCCAGGGCGCTGCTGTCCGTGGCGGTCGTCCAGGGCATAGCAGGCATGGTGTACTCTCGACACCACAGGGGGTGCGCACGGGGTGGTCCTTGCGCGCGGCCTATATCCGTGATGGTGGTGCTCAGGGCACATCGGTACGCAAGTTTGCTATCCGTGCCGGTCGTGCTCAGGGCACAGGGGAACGCTGGCGGAGCAGGCGTGGCATACTATCATAGCCTTAAGGAGTCCGCAAGTGGTGGTCTCTGAGCGCGGCCGCTATCCGAGCCGGTCGTCCAGGGCTCAACAGGCGTGGCACTTTCTCGGCACCATAGGGGGTGCGCAGGGAATGGCCACCAACATCATTCTCACATGCTTCACTTCAGCCATCATCACTCCAGCCATAATATAAGTATGTGGGGTTCCTCGGTCGCGTAATTTCCGTACTATTTTTGAAAAGGCCTTCCTCGGGTTCCCAGGGTTCCCTGGTGTCTAATTTCGGGGATACGTAAGACTCGAATAGTTACGGGGGGCTCGGATTGGCCTGACGGGGCCATCATAAAAAATGGCGAGACCCAATCTGAAACTTGACGCGAGCTCACGCTGCAAGCATCCTACGAAAACTGCACCGTCAAAATCCAGGACGCGCTCGTCCAAAACGTCGGCAAACCCGAGTTCCAGCTTACTCGAGTCTTATGTTTCCCCGAGCGTTTTCTGTCGTTGGAAAAGCAGTCCACTGGTTCCCCAGGTTCCGTGGTCTTGTTTTCTTCCTGTGTTTGAACAAGCCTTCCTCGGGTTCTCCAAAGTCCTTTGTTTTGTTTTTTCGTACTGTCTTGAACAAGCCTCCCTCGGTCCCCGCGTTCCTGGAGGCCTCATTTCAAGATTGTCGCTTAGAAAGGCCTTCCTAAGGTTCCCCGGGTTCCTTGGTTTTGTTTCCTAGCTGTATTTGGAGAGGCCTTCCTCGGGTTCCCCGGGTTACTTGGTTTTGCCTCCTTATTGTGATTCAAGAGGCCTTCCTCGGGCTCCCACAGGCCCTTGGTCTTGTTGCATTGCTGTCTTTGAAAAATGCCTTCCTCGGGTTCCCCAGGAACTTTGGCTGTTGTATTAATGTCTTTGAAAAAATGTTCGTCGGGATCCCCGGGTTCCTTGGTCTTGTGTCCTTGCTATTTTCGGAAAAGGCCTTCCGTTGTTCCCCCAAGGTTCCTTGGTCTTGTGTCCTTACTGTTGTTGAAAAGGGCTTCTTCGGGCTCCCCAGGCTCCCCGGGCTCCGATGTCTTATTTCTGTTCAGCAACGCACAGCAATGCCAAGAGATACCATGTAACGCAAAGTAACGCAGAGCAATGCAAGGCATTGCAACGCCCAGCAAGGCAATGCAATGCCAATCAATGCCGATTAAGAAGCGTTCCGTCAATTGGGGTCGCGCCGGGATCATTTCAACCATGTTGCTGTATGATCAGCGTGTAACCACCCTTTCGGCGAGAGCATCCAAGAACCGCCCAAAGGGGCCCAGGAGGTGCAAATAGAACTGCTATTTGGAGCTCCCCATCACAAGATGGTCCTACCAAAGGGAGACAGCCAGCAGGCCCTCGAGAGGCCCCTCCGGGAGGCCACCAATAGGACCGCCAAGGGGCCCCAATAGGCATCTATCAAGCATCCAAGAGGCCTGTTTTCCACAACCCCAGCACGGTGGCGGAATGGACAAAGGCCACTAGATGCGAGCACTATCTTAGGACGAGTATCCACCACTCCGAGGCGTCCGCTTCTGCTCCCGCCGCACTTCTACTGTCAGCAGTCCCTCGCGTCTGCGGGCTGGCCGACGTCCTTCTCCTCCTTGTCCATAGCCTTCTCGGCACCGTCCATCCACTTCGTGTACTCGGAGACGACTTTCTCCTCCCCCGCCATCTGACTGCGCGCGTCACGTGCTACTGGCAGCTCGCGCGCGTCCCCACTCCGCTACAACATAGGTACTGGGGCCCATGGAGGAGGCAAATGCAGGGCGAAGACAAGGAAAACGAGGGCTGGCGGAGGGGGAAAATATCGAAGAGGGGAGGTGCCTAGCACATGGTGGTGGCGACGATTCACCAGCCCGTGGATCCTGTCTGCAATTCACTGCGGTGGGCTCCCCCTGCACGCTTACCCTCATCATTATCTCTCTCTTCCTCACCCTCTGCTTCCTATCCCCTTCGTCGATGTGCATGTGGCCTTTGAAGACAGGTGCATGTACAAATACCATGCCCAAGCGGAGCTGGCTTCACGCCGACGGGAAGTGAAGGCAGGAGGACTTCGTGGTGACTACTTCCTTCTCGCGTCTTCAACCACCCGCCCTCTCCGAACACTCATTATGATACGTGTCTTAGGCTTCACCGTCTTTGTATATAAAACATGCCGATCCGCATCTGCACATAGTGCAGGACTATGGACCCTCGGCTCCGGCCAGCTGCTCATGATGCTCTAAGCGACCAAACCGAATTACGCATAGCATAGCAAGGCTGGGCGGGCATGAAAGTGCAGACGAAACAATGCCGCCAGCGATAGACATTTAAGATCGTCAGCCTTTCTTGGACGGGTGCAGGTTGAAACAACACCGTATTACGCATTCAGAATTAGAGAGCCCTTGGGCGACACCACACTGAAAAGCTACACACGACGCTAGTCACCTCAACAATCATCGCCGCCTTCATTATCCACCGATCCCGATGCATCGTCTCAACACGCTGGGACCGCCTACATGAGTTCGTGGCACCATGAACATACCTAACAAGAAGCGGCTGCAGGACCGCAGCCAACAATATGGATTGACCAACAACGAGCGAACAGAAACGCGCTTGAGATAATCCATGCCATGCCCGACGCAAGTGGACCGGGAGGGGCGCTTTAGAAACTCAGCTGGCAATGCGCGCAGAATAATCTCTGCATTAATGAGCGGTCGCATACCCCCGAGGCCCAGGCCTTTCGCTGAAAGGCAACTTGAATGCGCCGTCTGGCCTATCTCGTACCCCTTATTCAAACCAAACGACAAATCAAGTCCCCCAGTCATGCTCCAAGAGGCAGCCCCAAGAGGCTGAAACATGAATATGGCCCCGCGCAGGGCGAATTAGAGACAAGCGTCGCAAACTCTCCTATACATAAATTGTTTCGCACGCATGACGTTCCTCACGTTGTGTTGCTCCAATTGGCTTCAACATGCGCTTCAATGATTTCCGAGAGGGTGCAACGATTTCCAGACGGCCCCAAAGCTCCCAAAGTGGCCACCAAGACGGCCCAACGCCCCCAAGACGCCCCCCAGAACCCCCACGAGGATCCAAGACCATCCAATGTGGCCCCAACTACCCCAATCATGCCCCCGATCAGGCCCGAGAAACCCCAAGAGGCCCCGAAGAGGCCCCCAGCGCGACAGACTTGCAACGGCACAGGCGTGTCAAGCTACAGCGTTGCAACTATGCGCGACGACCCAACTGGAGTGACCGAGCGATCCGCAACCGTGCCACTGGGCACTCCTCCAGTCCTCAAGAGTCCGCAAGCCTCAATCTTGACTTCATGCAAGCACTCCCCGATGGGGCCAGACGCTAAATTG